ACTACAGGCATGCGCCACCATGCCCGGATAATTTTTCTATATATATTAGTTGGCCAATTAATTTCTTTCTATTTATAGTAGAGACGGGGTCTCGCTCTTGCTCAGGCTGGTTTTGAACTCCTGACCTTGAGCAATCCGCCCACCTGGGCCTCCCAGAGTGCTAGGATTACAGGCGTGAGCCACCACGCCTGGCCCCGACAGTTCTTTTTAAATGTCTATAACCCTTCCTAGAAGATGAAGGCAGTGTCTTCTAAGTATGTAAAAGTATGTTTAAAATTAGCTTAAAATTAGCAATCTCTAGCATGATTATTTTATATAATATAATGTCCTATTAGAAAATAATAGAATCAAATCTAAGATTTGAGAGATCAAGATCGGAGCCTCTTTTTCCACTGACCTGACTGACGATAGAGGAAGAATTTATAAAATGAGGCACAAGATTACATCACTCAGTTATAGAGAATTTTCAATAATAGTTGTAAGGGCTAGGCATGGTGACTCATGCCTGTAATCCCAGCACTTTGGGAGGCTGAGGCAGGAGAATCACTTGAGGCCAGGAGTTTAAGACCAGCCTGGGCAACATAGAAAGACCCCATCTCTACAAAAAAAAAATTTTTTTTTAATTAGCTAGGTGTGGTGGCACACACCTGTAGTCCCAGCTACTTGGGAGGCTGAGGTAGGAGGATCACTTGAGCCCAGGAGTTAAAGGATGTGGTGAGCTGTGATCACACCACTGCACTCCAGCCTGATGGGACAGAGTGAGACCCTGTCTCTAAAATAATAATAATAAAAATAGTTACAAATGAGAATATTTCAGGGACTTTGAAGTTGAGGCAATAAATGTGACAGGAAGAATGTACAGTTTATTCTTCTGGAACTCCTCACAATTCTATGGAATTTTTTTCCTTTTATTTTTAATCGACACTTAATAATTATACATCTGTGGGATACAGAGTGGTATTTTGACACACATATACAGTTCTGTATAATTTTATTAGGGAAACAGTAGTTAGGGAGAAGAATCAGTTTTAGAATGTTGGTGATAATGCTCAAGAGAAATTCCTTTGATTCATTAGGAAGTGGGACTTGACTATATAGGAAGCCTCTACTTTAGACTCATTGTATCGCAGTGAACTTTCCCTGGCCTTCCTCTCCACTGGCCTCTTCCACATTCACAGGGCCCCCTGTACCTGGCATCTCATTGTGGTAGTTCTTCGCTCTAGATTGGGGACTACTGAAAGCAGATACTTGTGTCTTTCATTTCATATCTGTCAAAGAGCCTAGCATAGTGTTCAACATAGAGTAGGTATTTGATACTTTAAGTAATGGTTCTACTGTGAACCCTATTCTTGACTGTCCATTCCTTATAACCTTAATATGTAAACCTTGATGGCTTTGTATGTTTGAACATAAGAAATAGTAGCCAAATAAGTGCATATATGTAGCAAGAAACAAATCTTTGAGGCTGTTTTGTTTCTTCTTTGTTGGATTTTTAACTTAAAAAGTAAAACATACTTATTCTAATAGTTCGAAAAGTACAGAGGTATATAAAAAGCAAGTCAGTCATTTACCTAATCTCTAGTCTTTATGCTTCTCATTCTGCCTTTTCCTATTAGATATCTATGCTCACATAAATATTATTTGTATTTAATATATCATGGACAATACTCTAGGTAAATGTGGATGTAACTCATTTTTTTACACTAAAATACCATTTTAATTAATGTATGCCTTTTAGCTATGGTGGCTGATATACCTTGAAACTGGGTTTAAAAAATTATTTTTCTTGCATTACATCCCAGAAAGGACCATGCTTTTTGTTTTTGCTTGTGTGTGTGTGTGTGTGTGTGTGTGTGTTAAAATATGCCAGTGTACCTTTTTATTTATGTATGTATGTATGTATTTACTTTTTTGAGACAGAGTCTTGCTCTTTTACCCAGGCTAGATGGCCGTGGAGTCAGCCTAACTCACAGCAACCTCAAATTCCTGGGCTCAAGTGATCCTCCTGATCAGCCAGCCTCCCAAGTGGCTGGGACTACAGGCGTCTGCCACCACGCCCGGCTAATTTTTTCTATTTTTAGTTGCTCCGCTAATTTCTTTCTATTTTTAGTAGAGACAGGGTCTCACTCTTGCTGAGGCTGGTCTCAAACTCCTGACCTAAAGCAATCCTCCCACCTGGCCTCCCAGAGTGCTAAGATTACTGGTGTGAGCCACTTTACCCAGACACCAATGTACCATTTTTAAGTATACAGTTCAGTGGCATTAAGTACATTCACATTGTTGTGGAACCATTCCCACTCTCCTTCTTCAACTTCTCCAACTCTTTCCATCTTGCAAAAGTAAAACTCTGTTCCCCTTAAACAATAATTCCCCATTACTGAGCCTTTGACAATCACCATTCTACTTTCTATTCTATGAATTTGACCACTCTTAGTACCTCATATAAGTGGAATCACAGTTTTTATCTTCTTGTGACTGGCTTATTTCACTAAGTATAATGTCCTCAGAGTTCATCCACATTATAGTATGTGTCAGAATTCTCTCCTTTTTAAGACTCAGTAATGTTCCATTGTATGTATATACATTTTATTTATCCATTCATCTGTAAATGGGCACTTGGATTGCTTCCACCTTTTGGCTATTGGCTATGAACATTGGTTTACAAATATCTGTTCTCATCTATGCTTTCAGTTCTTTTGGGTATATACCCAGAAGTGGAATTGCTGAATTATGTGCTAATTCTATGTTTAATTCATTGAGGAAACACTCTACTGTTTCTCCATAGCAGCTGTACCATTTTATATTCCCACCACAGGTGTTACAATAGTTCCATTTTTTTTTCACATCCTCACCAACCCTTGTTATTTTCTGTTTTTGTTTTTGTCATTTTTTTTGTAATAGCCATCCTAATGGGTGTGAAGTGGCATCCCATTTTTTAAGTAGAGACAGGGTCTCACTATATTGCTCAGGCTGGTCTTAAACTCTTGGCCTCAAGCCATCCTCCCACTTTGGCCTCCCAAAGTGCTGGGATTCTAGACATAAGCCACTGTACCCGGCCTAATGTTTAATAATGTTGAACATCTTTTCATGTGGTTATTGGACATTTATATATCTTCTTTGGAGAAATGTCTCTTCAAGTCCTTTGTCCATTTCTTAGTTGGGTTATTTGGAGTTTTTTTTGTTGTGAATTTTAGTCATTCTTTATATATTCTAGGTATTACTCCTTTATCAGATACATGATTTACAAATACTTTCTCCTATTCTGTGGGTTGCCTTTCACGCTATTGTCTTTTGATACATAAAAGTTTTTTATTTTGATAAAGTCCAGTTTATTTAGTTTCTTTTTGTTGCCTGTGCTTTTGGTGTCATATCTAAAAAATCATTGCCAAATCTAATATCATGAAGCTTTTCTGGTATGTTTTCTTCTAAGAGTTTTATAGTTTTAGTTCTTATGTTTAGGTCTTTGAACCATTTTGGTTAATTTCTGTATATGGTATAAGGAAAGGTTCCAATTTCATTCTTTTTATGTGGTTATCTACTTTTTCCCCGCAACATTTGCAGAAAACTATCCTTTCCGCCCATTGAATGGTCTTAGCACCCTTGTTGAAAATCATTTAATCTTCTATGAGAGGGTTTATTACTGGACTTTCTAGTCCTGAACTCATTTTTAGCAGGTGTTATTCATCTACAATATGAATACATCAGAGTTTATTCAAACATTCCCCTATTGATGGACATACACATTATATCCAGGCTTTTGTCACTACAAGCAATGTTGCAGTAAACATATTAAAGCATACAGTCTTAACATCCTAGTACTTTTATTTCTCTGTAATGTATTCACAAAAGAAGAATTTTTAGGGCAAGTGGTATGTTTAGTTTTTAATTTCAAGCAGGTCCCTTTTTTTTAAAGGATATATGAGTTCACATTTCTGTCAGCCATAGATGAAAGCCTGTTTCTCCACATCTTTGGTAAAATCTTTTTAATATTTCCTAATATGACCATTTAAAAATGGTAAAAGGTCTCTGTCAGTCAGTATTTTTTGGTGAAATTTGAACAATACTGATAAATATTTCTCATTTATTTCAAAAACATTTTACTCTTGGTTTTAAAAAAATCTCTATCCAGCCGTTACATGGTGGCTCACATCTGTAATTCTGGTACTTTGGGAGGCCAAAGCAGGAGGATCACATGAGGCCAGGAATTCAATACCAGCCTGAGCAACATAGCAAGACCCCATCTGTACAAAAAAAATTAAAAATTAGGCCGGGCATGGTGGCTCACACCTGTAATCCTAGCACTCTGGGAGGCCAAGGCGGGCGGATTGCTCAAGGTCAGGAGTTCAAAATCAGCCTGAGCAAAAGTGAGACCCCTTCTCTACTATAAATAGAAAGAAATTAATTGGCCAACTAATATATAGAGAAAAATTAGCCAGGCATGGTGGCGCATGCCTATAGTCTCAGCTACTCGGGAGGCTGAGGCAGAAGGATTGCTTGAGCCAGGAGTTTGAGGTTGCTGTGAGCTAGGCTGAACCACAGCACTCTCGCTAGGCAACAAAGCAAGACTCTGTCTCAAAAAAAAAAAAAAAAATAGTTCTATAGTACCTATATTATATGCCTACATATCTGTAACGTATATATATAATGTACATATTATATATATATAAGCCAGGCGTTGTAGCGCATTTATAGTTCTACCCGTAGCTACTTGGGGAGGCTGAGGCAGGAGGATCACTTGAGCCTAGGCTGCAGTGAACTATGATCATGCCACTGCACTCCAGTCTGGGAGACAGAGCTGTATCCTGTCTCTAAAATAAACAAACAAATAAAAAACTCTGTCCTCTCAAAACATGAGAAATGCAAGTGAGAACAGATTGTCACTTCTATGTTGAGTTAAATGGGCAAATTAACATTTTTAAACAATCAAATTTTAAGTGTTTTTCCTGCTTTAAGCCATTTTTAAGTAAGCAAAATAGTCAATGGCTTCTCATTTTTCTTAGCTTAATGCGGATACTGAAAGAGAAGAAGGAGAAGAGTTTGAAGACAACATGGATGTTTTTGATGACAGCAGTTCCAGCCCTTCTGGCACCTTAAGAAATTATCCACTCACCTGCAAAGTTGTTTATTCCTACAAGGTTTGTAATTCTCCAACATATTGCTGTTACTAAATTGTGACAACGCTGAGGATACGTGTGAATGTATCTACCCAGCCTCTCATACTGTGCTTAGCATAAAATTGTTGTAGAGTTAATAATATTAGAGGCAACATAACATAATGGTGAAGAGTTTAGGCTCTGCTTCAAAAAACCTGGGTTAAAATTCTGTCTCTTGGCCGGGCGCGGTGGCTCACGCCTGTAATCCTAGCTCTCTGGGAGGCCGAGGCGGGCGGATTGCTCGAGATCAGGAGTTCGAAACCAGCCTGAGCAAGAGCGAGACCCCGTCTCTACTATAAATAGAAAGCAATTAATTGGCCAACTAATATATATATATATAAAATTAGCCAGGCATGGTGGCGCATGCCTGTAGTCCCGGGAGGCTGAGGCAGGAGGATTGCTTGAGCCAGGAGATTGAGGTTGCTGTGAGCTAGGCTGACGCCATGGCACTCACTCTAGCCTAGGCAACAAAGCGAGACTCTGTCTCAAAAAAAAAAAAATTCTGTCTCTGCCACTTATGAGCTGTATGACCTTGCAGTAGTCCCTTAGTCTCTGTGAACCTCAGTTTCCTTATCTTTACCATAGGAATAATATTGTAGGGTCCATAGAAGATCAAATAAGATAATACTTTTATAGCAAAGCACTTAGCACAGTGCCTGGCATCTAGTAAATTTTCAGTAAATAGAACTCTTAATCCATATCATCAGTCGCCTCGTTGGCATCCTCCATTAGGATGACCCTCAAAATTGATATCAAAGGAAAGTTGTGCTACAATGCAGTTTTTAAAACCTTGCCTTTCTTCATCCCAATATTGACAACTGTAGTTATCCATGTTAAGCAGGGGCCTGCGTAAATAGATGCCAGAGTTTCCAAACCTAATTTGGTGTAATAGTTCTTAATCTCTCTCATCGCTGTCCTGCTTTCCCACTAATTTTTTATTTGGCACAGAATAAATTGAGTTTCAATTCCTCGGTTCCTTTCTTTCCCTCACTCCTCTCATCCAGCCAGTGCTATTGAGTCCACCTCCAAAACCTATCCTGAATCTACTCACTTTCACCACCCCTGCTGCCACCATCTTGGTCTAAGCCATCGCTTTGATTACTGTGAAAGGGAAAAAATCCTCTTAATTGCTTTCTCTCTTTCATACTTGCCTTCCAACAGTCCATTTTCTACTCAGAAATCAGAATCATTGTTAACACATGAAGGAGATGATTTTAAACCTCTTCCTTAAAAACCCTTTTTAAGCTTTCCATTACATGTAGAAAAAAACCCAAACTCGTCCCTAGGGTCTGTTAATGTCCAGCCTGATCTGACCCCAACCATTCACCCTCACTTTATAGCTTCATATTAGACCATTCCCAGCCCCACCCACTCACTGCACAGTAGCCATTCTGGCCTCCCATCGGGCTTCAAAGGCACCAGGCTCTTTCCTGACTTCATGTCTTTCACTTGCTAATCCCTCTACCTAGAACTCTCTTTCCCCAAATCTGTTGGCTGACCACTGTTCCTTACTGAAGCTCAGCTCAAATAGTGCCTCCTAGGTTCACCTCTAGCTGCCTAAATATGTAATCAACTCCTCAGTCACTACTTTCTTTGCCCTCACCTCTTTTATCTACTATATAGTACTTATTACCAACCAAACTTATTCTTATTTGTTTTCATATTTCTTTGTCTGACTCCCCACTAAAGGTCCATGAAGGCAGAAATCTTGTCTGTCTGTGTACACTGTCTGTGTGTCTTCAGCACTCAGGACAATGCCCGGTGCATAGTAGATCACCAGTACACACTTGTGGGGTGAATAATAAATGATGGAAGGAGGGCATGAACAACAAACCTTTCTCTGGCCCCCATTCTGATGGAGACATCAATGAGGAAGGATAATGCCAAGGGATAACAGCAGAGGGAGGGTCTGGAGAGAATCTTCAGCTATCATACACTGGAAGGTCTCACTGCCACCACCACCATCCTTGTGCAGCCAAAAGGTGGCAGTATTTACTTCTCAGTATCAGTGATTTCCAGACTAATCAGTGAGAAATTAAAGGAGTTTAATATCCTTTCATTATATATTTAAATTCATAATACTTCTGTTTTCTAAAAGGGTTTTTTTTTCCAATGTAAATTGTTTTTATAATCTTTAGAAAATTTGAAATCATCTTCTGAGATACTTGGAAAGATCTTTATACATAGGGTATTATAAAACTAGGGTTGAGAATGTTTCCCGATGTCACTTCTTATTGTTATATTTACTTGAAAGTTCCAGAAGTAAAATTTAAGGTCCTTAAATGGAGAAGGGTCCTAAGTGTCTGAGTGATTTTAAACAGCTCACATTCATCCAGCATTGCCCCTGTTGACATATCCCAGGCATGTCCCTCTGGTAAACCAGACTATAAATATCTATATAGTCAGTTAATCGCTGAATAAACATTTATTGAGTGCCCAATATGCAATAACTTTTGGGGATGTAAGAATGAATATGACAAAAAAAATAACAACAACAAAAAAAAAAAAACAAAAAAAGAATGAATATGACATTATTCCTGCCCTCCAAGAATGGATAGTCTAAAGGGGGGATAAATATAAAATGATAATATAGATACCATGTATGAAAAGATTTATAGTAAAGGTAAAGCCACTAATCCTACCTGTGATAGTTGGAAGAAATTTTATAGATGAGGTGGCATTTAAATTAGGTCATCAATAAGACCTTTCTAGATAGAATGAGAAGGTAGAGAATAGAAAGAGCCTTCTAGAAAAAGAATAGTGCAGCAGATACAGAGTGTGATAAGAGTATAGGGTGTTCAGGAAGTGGTAAATTCAGTGGTGTGGGAGCATCGAATGAGGGAATAGCAGTTGGATATAAAGCGGTTTGTTTTCAGATACTAAAGGGCCTTTGTACCAGACTCAGAAGTTTAGTTTTTATTCTGGCTAGGAGGATCCACTGGATGTCCTAAAATCATCTTGGACATTGGAGAAGGTAACACTGCTCATGGTGTAGATGCTTGAGAGGATAGATTAGAATAGAGAGAGACTGAGGTTAAGCCTAATCATGATTCCTATAGCCCAGACCAACACAGAAGGCCTAAAATAATCTGGTAAGAACAAAGACAAGCTATTAGGGCTGGGTGCAGTGGCTCACGCCTTTAATCCTAGCACTCTGGGAGGCCGAGGTGGGCGGATTGCTCAAGGTCAGGAGTTCGAAACCAGCCTGAGCAAGAGCAAGACCCTGTCTCTACTATAAATAGAAAGAAATTAATTGGCCAACTAATATATATAGAAAAAATTATCTAGGCATGGTGGCGCATGCCTGTAGTCCCAGCTACTCAGGAGGCTGAGGCAGCAGGATTGCTTGAGCCCAGGAGTTTGAGGTTGCTATGAGCTAGGCTGACGCCAAGGCACTCACTCTAGCCTGGGCAACAAAAGGAGACTGTCTCAAAAAAAAAAAGAAAAGCTATTAGATTCAAAAACCTTAAAAATGTTAATAACTTTTGACCTTATTAATCTATCCCAAGGAAATAAATCATAATATAGAAAAATGTTTGAGATATAAAAATGTCCTTTCATTATAGTACTATTTTATATACTTTATAATAACTCAAAGTTAGAAGTCCAATAAGAGAATAGTTAAATTACCATTCAGGTACCATAACCATAACATGTGATATTATGAAGATTATTGAAATTTACATTAGTAAGTTTTTATATAAAAAGAAACACTTATAATGTCAAATAAAAAACGAGGATACCAAATTGTATGTACCTTAAGACCTCAATTATGCATATTTTCCAACTTTTCTGCAATGAACATGTATTTTATAATCAGGAAATTTTGTTTTTAAACATATTATTTTAAAAGAAAAGAGAAAATTTGAAGAGTTATTGGTGGGAATGGAGTTCTGGTTGTCACTAGACTTAAGGAGATAGTATGAGACCATGTGTGTATTTAATAACTATTTATTGACTGACCACTTGCTGTCTTCAGTTGGGATAAGTGAGAAAAAATACAGTCCCTGCCTGCCTTAAGTCTTTCTAGTAGGAAGCCCACAGGACTAATGGCTGACTGGAATGCCATGGTGGTCAGTGTTAAAGGGCTGTATAAAGCCTTTCAAGAACAAAAGGGTGAGTAGGCAACTAGCTCATGATGGCTGGTGGGCGAAAACATAGGAGATGAGCCTCAAATCATGAGTAATAATAACTACAATAACCCTATAAGGTAGATATTATAAAATACCCCATTCATTTAACAAATATTACTTGAACATCTTCCATTTATCAGTGCTGTGCTCTTTTCTAGGCTCTGGGATATTAGCATTAATCAAACAGACAAAAATCTCTGCCCTCATGGAACTTATATTCTAGTAGGAAAAGTAAGAAAACTGAGGCTCAAAGACATCTTACAGTCGATTTCCTATAGAAACAGACTGAAGCTGAATTTAAACTCACAGTAATCTAAATCCATCCATCAGATAGGAAAAAGGGAGCAGAGCATACTGGGCAGAAAGAGGCAAGGGAGAACACGGTGTGCTCAGAGAACAGGTGTGCTGAGTCCAAAGCATCAGAGAGGCCCAGGGGACCAAGCTCTATAGGGTCTTGATTGCTGCTCAAAGGACCTGACCTTGTTAAGTGGAAGAATTGGACATCACTGCCTAAGGATGGTACAATCAAGCTAATGTCTGCTTATGTTAAACAACTAATGCTGCAATGTTGGATAACCTGTGTGGACCTCTGTGACTTTTTTTTTTTTTTTTTTGAGATGGGATCTTACTATATTGCCCAGGCTGGTATCAAATTCCTGGGCTCAAGCAATATTCCTGCTATAGCTTTCTAAGAAGCTGGGATCATAGGTATATGCCACCAAGCTTGGCTTCCATGGCTTTTTCTTTTACAAAGGCAGCAATATATTTAAAGGTGCTCTGTCCCTCCTGCCTTGCTCTCACATACATTAATGTCTGGTTGTGTTGGTACTTTTTAAGTCTTACCATGGAATTAAGAAAACATCTTTATTACAAAGGTACCTTTTGCTAATATGTTCAAGGCATAGTATTGTTTCAGAGTAGCAAATAAATCCTGGAAAAGCTACCAAAAGTAAATGAGCAGGCTGTTTTCCCCTCATATTTTGAGATAAGAGGTGATTTTCTTGACAATCTGGTCCTGGAATATTTTGTGATTGGTCAGATATTTTCAGTATTATTTTTCTGTCTCAGTGAGCAATAGCAACATCCAGAATCTGGGTTTTGATGAAATGTTTTAATGTTCATGAAATGGGAAATGGGTTTTGGAAAGTGACATATTTTTTTGCCTTGTTTTAGCTTATATAACTTGGAAATATTTTTTTACACTTTGAGATTGTGAGATTCGAAGAACTGTATGTTCGTAGGTGATAGTTTTAACTGATCTTGGGACTTGGGGAAAGCTTTTAAGACTATTTACTAGAGAGCCAGAAGAAGCCAGCAAGCCCCTGCCTGTCACCTGTGGCAGACAAGGCTCCTTAGGAAGCAAAGCCAAATGGACTTTCTAACCCCTCTGCAGAGCCTCTGAGAGCTTCCTCTCAGGTTTTGCAATCTCAGGGCCAATATCTAGGGGGCTGATGCTAGGGCTGTCAGGGATAATAAAACCATTACAGTTAGCAACTTGTGCAGAAGAACCCAAGTGGATCAGCCTAGTCTTAACAGTTTAAGTTAGAGCATAATAAATGCAAACCTTGACTGATTGCAATCATTTCCTTTCCCACAATTTTCCTCTTTTGGCCACTGTCTTATAGTAATTCCAGATCAATCCTAGGCACTGCTCAAGCTGTCATCTGATTCATGTACATAGTTCTTTGCATTTTCACAGCATGCACCTCCATTGTAACAGTTCCAACTCAGTGCCTTCTTCTTTGCCTCTGTTTCCCAAGTCATCATGGTTCTGTGCTTATTCATCCCACATTGCCCCCTCCCCCTCATTCTCTGGAGAATGGCAGGACTGTCATTTTGAAGAAATGGAGGCATCATGGTGAATAACTTACCAATAGGCACATAAGCTGGGGCTGGGACCCAGGTCTTCTACTTCCAGCATGGTGCTCTCTCCATTGAACTCGATTGCCTCTTGACAATTCAGTTTCTCCAGTTTTTGTGGTTTTATTTTATTTAGTTTTTGAAAGTAAAACTTCACCTCATTATGATAGTTTTACAGCATTTACAGTTTTATGTTCAATATGTTTCTCAAAATCATTTCAATATTTTGATCTCACATTTTTGTTATGATCGGCTCACATCTGCTCTTTATCTAACCTTTTTAATTTTGTCCATGACCATCCTACATTGCAGGCTTCTCAACCAGATGAGTTGACCATTGAGGAGCATGAGGTGTTAGAAGTGATTGAAGATGGAGATATGGAAGACTGGGTAAAGGTAGATTCCTTTGCTCATATCGCCCCTTCTTGTCACATTTTCAGGAGTTTACTTTGGTTCTTGTTATGCTCCGTCCAAATTGTGTGTGCAAACTTGTTTTGTCACATGTCTTTTACCCAGGCTCGAAATAAAGTTGGCCAAGTGGGTTACGTGCCAGAAAAGTACCTACAGTTTCCCACCTCGAACAGCCTACTGAGCATGCTGCAGTCCCTAGCTGCTTTGGACAGTCGGTCACACACATCCAGCAATTCCACGGAAGCAGAACTCGTTTCAGGCAGCCTCAACGGAGATGCCAGTGGTAAAGACTGAAACAAGGCACTCTTTATTTGGTCACATTTGACCTAAACTATATTGCCCTGGAGTAAGCCTTCAGTAGGTTAAAAAGCACAACTTTATTCCTATCCTATGATATGTTTTCCTTTATTTGCTCACATTTGTCCTGTACAGTAGAACCTAAAGTTGATCTTCAGTGTGTAAAGAAAAAAAAAAAAATTACGACTTTACTCCTATTCTATATGATACTGTTTTAGTTGTCATTGAGCAAGGGGGTGGTTGCAGAGCATCCTGGCTGTCAGTGTTCTCACCAGGTTTGTCTTTCTCTTGCTCCCTAGTCTGTTTTGTGAAAGCACTTTATGATTATGAGGGCCAGACAGATGATGAGTTATCTTTTCCTGAGGGAGCGATCATCCGTATCTTGAACAAAGAAAACCAGGATGATGATGGCTTCTGGGAAGGGGAATTCAATGGGCGGATTGGAGTTTTCCCATCGGTGCTAGTGGAAGAACTTTCAGCCTCAGAAAATGGTGACACTCCATGGATGAAGGAGATTCAGGTACATGAGAGGGGAGGAAGCTGAATTAAAAGACGTTTAAAGAAAATTACTTCCAGGGTGTCTGTTGATCCAGAAAAACGTGGGCTGTAGTCTCTGCCTCACCCTCCCCACTCCTGCCCTCAGTGTGTCTGCAAAACTGAATTTGAGAAACCAGAGACTTGTCAGGCTCTTGTGGAATATGGTCATATTACACCTCCTTTCTCCCATGTTCTATCTTCTGAATCAGTTAACTAAAATGCTAAATTGTATGCAACATACCAAAAGTTTGGTTTGGTGGAGAGAAGGAAACAGACCAGAGAGGGAATGTTAGTTTATGTAGTAAAATTATTTCTCTCCCTCACTGTCAGAGCCTCCCTGCTGAGCTCTGATCTTGCCAGTCCATTTCAGAGAATTAACCAGCTGCCCGATCCCCCATTCCACTCTCAGATGGCCTTGGACTTAGCTCATCGTAGGGAAACTTGCGGTCACAGTTTGGTTTGTCCTGTCTGCCTTTCTATCAGCAGGCCTTGGAAGGTGGAGGAATAAGGAACGTGATTGCCACTCTTATTTGCATGGTGACTGTGACCACTTAGCCTGACATGTACAGAGCCTGGAGAAGTTAGAAACTCAGCTGATTATTTTATCTTCACCAAAGAAAATACAGCTTGTCCCCTTTTTTGTTCTTCAATGACTTTACTGAATTGATTAATTTGGTATGTTTTCAGTAGAACCTTAGAGAATGGTCTGACTTGATAACTGTTATAAATAAACTAAAATCAGTAATATAATGAGATTGGTGAGAGTAAAAAGTTAAGTGCAACACAAAATTGGGATTTAGGGTCATTATTTTAGGCTCCTTTGCTTCTAATGAGGCTGACAAGGTTTAATAGTTTTAACTTAGCTCCAGAGAAAGGACTGTGTGCGGAGCAGTCAGAGAAGCAGCCAGGCTCTCTCCTGCCTGGGGAGGTGGGCGCCTGGTAATCTCCTTCCCTTTGCTGCAGATCTCTCCCTCCCCCAAGCCGCATGCCTCCCTGCCTCCACTGCCGCTGTACGACCAGCCTCCCAGCAGCCCCTACCCCAGCCCAGATAAGAGGAGCTCCCAGTACTTTCCCCGGTCTCCTTCAGCAAATGGTAAGGGTTCTCCTGGGCATGGGTCTAAATGCATTTTCACTTCAGAAATCCACATATTCGCCTGAAGGGCAAACAGATCTGCATTAGCATTTTTATCGCTCAACAACTCAAATGAAGTGAGCTGCTTTGGTTCTCTCCTTTAGAAAACAGCCTTCATGCTGAATCACCGGGATTCTCACAGGCATCAAGGCACACTTCTGAGACCTCGTATGGCAAACTGCGACCTGTAAGTCTCCTCTCTGCAGGGTTACGGAATGCGTGGTTCTTCCAAATACAAAGTTAGAAATGGTTCCCCGTGGCCCATGTGTTGTTGCTGATTCTGCCAAGCAAGGGGGAATGGGTTTGAGAAGGTAAAAAGAGCTATTGAAAAGGAAGCAATAAAAATCAATTCATCTTAGAACGTTTAGTCTACGCTGGAACTTTTCTCACTGAACCATGGTGAGATCGCAAGATGATAGCTAGGAAAGTGTGTTTAAATTATAACAAGGCTTGTGAGCATTAAAGTGATCTCATTATGAAAAGGAAGCACTTTTTTTCTCAGCAAGCACTTATTAAGTACCTCTTTTCCAAGCAGCCTGTATTTGCCTCCTTGAGGAACATTGAGGTGAAATAATAAGATACACATCATGGCCTCAGGGTGAATATAATCTTGCAGATAGTTGCCTCTACTCACCCTCACTTCTCTGACATCTCAGTTCTACCCCTCACTACACTCCAAGGTCATAACTTTCACCTTGATAATCCAGGGCATAATTTGCAATTTTATTTTCCTTGACCTTTATCAGCTTTTGATACCATTAGTTGAACCACTGGCTTCCTTTGGCTTCATCCATTCAGCTTATGTGTGTTGAGTGCCTTGTTAAGGACTTGGGTCTTTATCCCAAATGTGACAGGAAGCCATTGTAAGCTGGTAAGCAGGACAGTGTTGTGGCATGTTTTACATGTTTAAAACATTGCTGTGGCAGCCAAGTGGAGAATTAATGGAAGGTGACAGAATGGACATGGGGAGCCCTTACAAGGCCGGAGCAGTGTCCTAGAAAGATGTGATGGTGGCACGGCCTTGTGGGTAAGGGTGGGACCGGAGCAAAGCAGACTGACGTGCTTGCCACACCACACTTTCCCAGCTTGCTCCCTACTCTCGGGCCCTACCTTTTCTCTACCTCTACTCATCTCTGCTGACACTTGTCATGGTTCTGTCCCTAGGCTGCTTCTCCTGAAGTCATTGAAAGCACTCTTCCCAAGTGATCTATTCTCACAGCTGTGATAAGCTCTCATATACCAGCAACTCCTGTATTTCTAACTGCCAACCTGATCTCTTCCTTGAGCTTCAGACTTGTGGATGTCTCAACTTACATGTCCCAAACCCCCAAAACTCAGCAAAAATGAGTTATCTTCCCTCCTAGACGTTCTCCCTCTCCCATATCACCTGTCTGGGTGAATGGAACCCTCATCCTATAGGTGTTATCTTGCTACCTCCCTGGCCCTGCCTTCCACAGACAGTCATCTCCATGTCCTGCCAGGTTGACCTGAGAAACAGGTCTCAAATCATTCCACCTCTCTACATCCCCCATCGCTGGCACCCTAGTTCAGGCTAACGTGACTGTCATGTAGCAGACCCCAAGTCTCCTAAGTTGTCTTCTTACTTAAACTCTTGCACAGATTTCTTAGCATGGCTTAACAAGGCCCCTCATGACTTAATCTCAGTCTGCCTCTCTAGCCTTAGCTCTTGCAACTCTCCCCCTAAGACATGCTGAAATGATTTCAGTTTTCTAAACATTGCTCCCTTTTCCTTCCAACTCCAGGCCTTTGCTTTGGAGAAGGATCTGGGGACTACAGTAACTCTTGTGCCCGTGTGACTCTTGTGCTTTCAGCCTAGGCAAGAACCTGATTTGTGGGTTTGACATTTCATTGAGAAGAACAACTGCTTCTCTGTGTGGGAAATAGCAAAGATTAGATGGAAAGCATGTGCTCAGAGCATTTCTGAGCCCCCTAGGGTACCTGTGTCCTTGGATAGATGAGTAATTGGGTTTGGGGGCACTTCAGGCACTGCATCAGGAAGCTGACTGACCATCCATGTGATTATTTCTGCTCAGGTCCGGGCAGCTCCCCCTCCACCTACACAGAACCACCGAAGGCCAGCAGAAAAGATCGAGGACGTGGAAATCACACTTGTGTGATGATGGGTTTGTCCATCCGTTACTGCTACAATCAAGGCCAGGCTGGGGAGTTTGGCCAGTCTTGTGTTAGGCACCTTTGCATGATGATGACTCTTGAGCAGAGCAAAAACAAGGAGGATTATATGTGACTGGGTGGCCTGGTGGACTCCTCCCACATTTTGAATATTTTGTGCCTTTTTTTGTTGTCATTTTCTATGTCATCTCTCCTGTCATAGCACAAATCCTAGTGGACCCTGAGCAGAGAAGGTGGGGCATCCCTCCTGCCTAACAGTGGTCCATTTTTATATGAGACTCAAGACCAGGCCTCGTTCCAGGACACAGTCACAGAATTACTGATCATGTGCACTTGTACAGTATATTACTGTGGCCACAGGATGTGGCAAAGATTCTCATCTTTCTTCAAGTGGCTTTTGCTCATCTGATTAGTATTAATCAGATCATGTTGGCTGTCTAAGGAAACAGAAGGAGGGATTTCAGGAGAGGCTGGCTCCTCCCCGAGGTTAGTCCCCAGACTGAGAAAGTGAAAAAAGTGGACTGCCCTGAGTTTAGCACCAATTGCATTAACGCACATCTCTTCCACAACTAACAGATCTAAAATGATAACAGTGTCCTTTGTATTAATATCTATGCCATTCATTTAGAATTAGTCGAGCTAATATGGAGGGGCTGAACTAGTAGCCACATCTTGTCCATCACATAGACTAATAGAAAGGAGGCTACGGCTAAAGCAGAAATGGAGCTTCCAGATCTGAAACAAGCCAATTTAATGTTCTTTTTGTATTTGGGTATTTTTCATCTTAATTTTTACAGCATATACTCTTCTTACCAGTATCCTTAGAATCTGAACGTTTAGATAAATTGAGGACACATACCTGCATTGTTGAGCTTCTCTATGGGGAGGCCTCTAGCATTATTTTATTCTCAAGCCAGTGCACCAGTCCAGTCCAGCTGTTACCCATGGAAAATGCAGCTTCCAGGTCCCAGTGCTCTGACATTTTCTTGAGAGGAAGAACCTGTGGGCTCCTGGAGGAAACCAGCTTCCTATGAGAAGGAATTGGAGGATTGCACACCCTGCACAAATGCAGATGGACAAGAAAAAGACTTCGTGTGTCCTCGTGTGTCACAGGGAGAGCCAGGAGTGGTGTTCTCTACGGGCCAGCAAGTGCCCAGAGTAGGACTCTGGCTGTCCACTCCTTTGGAAGGTAGGGGGTGTGATACCTAGGAACTAAGGGATGTGTGCCAGTTGCTTTTTTTACTTTTGTTAAGAAATCAGATTTGCAGAATTTAATCCAAAAGTTGTTTTGTGCTTTGAAAACTCCATCCCTCCTAAGAATCTTTAAAAACTTGAAATGCTCGCCAAATGTCCCCATGGGATTTTTTTGACCAAAAAGTAAGGTCATAACTGAAGCAATTTTCAGTTAGTCATTTGATCACTTTGGTGACAATACCCATTGATGAATCTTCTTTGTGATTTTGGGTTTTTTTGTTTTTGTTTTTTGCATTTCTTAACCTGTTGATCTATTTGAGGTCTTTTTGTGTTTATCAAACTTATTCTTAAGTTTAAAAAAGAAATTTAAAGGGTGGTTTTTTTTAAGATTTAAAAATTTTCTGACATACTAAAAATCTTCAAAGTGCTTATAAATAGAGCAGTTCTTACCACCCAGTCTTGTATTTTCTCGTTAGCTAGCCAAATTGTCCTTGAATTTGGGTTTTCCACAACCTCAGAGGGTTATTTGAAGTCTTTTGTTATATTTTAAAATATTTTTTGGAAGAGCTGCTAATTTTATTTTAAAAAACAAAGGTGTAAAAATATGCCTCCTTTTTAAAAAATAACCCCTCCCTCCAGGACATGTAACCCAGTGTCACATTGCACGGGGCAGGGCTCAGAGGGAGCCTCTGTGCAGATGTGCTTTCTTTACAGTGGCTGTAAAAAGTTTGTATTTATTATGTATAAAATGTTGAATAATAAAAAAATGGAATTAAATTTTCTGAGTTTCTCTATAGAAAGATTTGGGTTAACAGACTTTTCCAAAGACCATGCTTCTTATAGACACTCCTGGACCCTCCTTTAGACCACTTAACAGACACAGAGAGGAGGAAGTCAGTTAATCCATCCATGGGACACACAGTCCCTGAAGCCACCACCTGCCAGGTGTAATATCCTGGACACTAGAGGTAGAAATAAATAAGTTATGGTCTTTACTTTCCCTCTGTCCTTTCCTGAACCTCCCCCTCGAGGAGTAATAAGTCGTGTGAAAGGAGATTTTGTTGGTAGATAGAAGACTCCTGGTTAAAGGCTGAGTCCCTCTGGCTTCCAGCCAGCCACCCTGAGGACCAGGGCTCGGCCTGTTTGGGGAGGGGCCCCACAAGCTTTCCTTTCCTAGCACTGGGGACATGCAGTATGTATTCTTACAGGACATTTTTTTCTTCCTGCATAAAACTCATAAGTGTGTACATTGCCTTGTTACATAAATGTGTTCTCATATAAATATTGCGTAAATTCCTAAAGGAGAATCAAAAAGGTACGTATATTTAATTTTATTAGATTTTGTCAAATTGATGTTCAAAAGGATTATGTCCATTTCCACTCCCACCAACAGCATATGAAACATCATGGACTTGGGAGTCAGAAGGTCTGAGTTAAAATCTGGCTCCGCCACTTGATAGCCCTGGGGACTGGGCCTCAGTGTCCTCGTCGGGAAGCTGAGAATAATGCTGTGTATCCACACATACGGTGTGTGGCACAGGACGGTCACCACAGACACTCCTCACGTGCTCTCTCGCACCTCTTCCTGGTGTGCTCACATTCCCAGCCGGGTCCCCGACAATCTCCCAGGCACACAGTAACACAGGGTTATCATGGGGCCCACGGGAAGGAGTGAGTGTGAAGTGCTTCACCATGCATGTAGGACATGAAATATCATTCCAATTTGGTTGTATTTGGGTTGTATTTCTGTCATGAAAAACAACTTCATAATGAAAAGAATAAATGCAAAGATACCATTTCCAACTTCTGCCTTCCCTACCAGGGAAAGCTGCTCACATTTGAGTCTGCTCTTAGCGCTGGAGGCCATCTGGGACCAAATGCCTCACCCCAGTGTCACAGCTAAATTATGGCCTCCTTCATCACAGGAACTGGCTCGATGCAGTCAGGCCATAGATTCACCGCCTACATCCCTTCCTCTGACCCTAGCACCCCTGCCCACAAGCAGGTGGGAGCACTTCATCTGGCCTTAGCCCTGCCACTGCTTGAGGGATGAGCTTTGCCTCTGCGCTGCCACATCCCCAACTTTAAAAGGCCGGAATGAGGTGATTTCCAAGGGCTTACCCCACTCTTATGTTCTGGATCAGTTCTGATTCTAGTTGCCCAGTGAGAGGTTACAATATTTGAGAACAAACTTACTAATACATACACTTCTTGAGATGGCAAGAAAGTGAAAACTCAAGCCACTGGACTCTTCCCTTGGGACTCTGGGACAAAACAAACCCTCATCTTCTCAGTTGCAATTACATCGCAGGCGCGCTATTCACTGACTGCCCGAGGAGCCCAACCGCAGCTTCCGGTTTTGGGGCCAATTACTGCCCAGCCCTCTCCTAGTGGCCTTCAGACAAAATCTGGCCGCTCGAATCTTTGCATTTATTCTTTTCATTATGAAGTTGTTTTTCATGACAGAAGTACAACCAAATGACAGAAATTTTAGGTTGGAATGGGGAGAATTGTAATCTGTCCTGAAATCTTACCACCTGACACAATCAGTTAAATTTCCTCCTTGACTCTTCCTGTGTTTGCTTTGTTACTGCTTGATCTGCCAAGACCCAAAGGAATGCGAAAGAGCATCTTGTTCCCAGACTGTTTTTCTCTCAGTCCCAGTGGCCAAAAAAATACACTTCTGCCATGTCTGCTTCTGAGAGCTCTGGTCTGGGAATGTTTTCCTAGAATGTTTTATCCTGAGACAAGACAGAAACTAATCCATGAACAGGGTTCACACCCCTTCCACGCTGTGTACTGAACACACTCTATGCCCTCTCTTCCACTTGCTCTGGCCAGAGACAGGGAGGGAGCAGGGTCAAAACTTTTATTCAGGTCCCTGCGCCACCTCAGATTAGCTGTGACTTTAGGCTCATCCCTTCACCTCTATGGGCCTTGCTTTCTCATCCATAAAGTGGGAAGGAGAAGATAATACAAACTTCCTAAGATTCAGGGAGATCAAATAAGGTAACCTGAAAATATTTTTGACAAGTGGATGTATGTCCAGAGCATGAAAACAGCCTGTGCCCACACAAGGTATGTCTCACCGATGGGATCTGGTGGTGTTAGAATTTCTCCAGAGACCACCTCTGTTCATTTGCTCTTTGTCCCTTCAGCTGGTCACTGGGGCCCTGCTCTGTCACCCAGGGGCTCACATCTGGCCAGGGAGACTCGAGAACAGCAGGAGATGACCAAGGGGCAGTAGGGGCCCAGAACAGGGGCTTCTGTCACTTCTCCTTACCTAGGCATTCAGGCTCACTGAGGCCTGAGACTGTGCAGGACACACAGAGGCAGCAGTACTCATGCCTGCAGAACAGCTCCAGGAAAGCTGTGTTACCTTTGGGGAGGCCCAGGGCATTGGGACATGAACAGTCTCACAGATGGGGACATGAGAGCCTAAGAGTCACTGTGAGTTGCCCAGGATCTCTCAGGAAGACAGAACTGGAGCAACTCTAGACCAGGGCCTCTAAAAAACCAGGCCAGCCCCTCTGCAGAACTTGAATCCAGTTTTTAGAAAAGAGAGAATCAGTGTTCTGATTCCAGCTCTGCTGTGTGACCTTGGGCCAGCTTCTGTCCCCTCTCTGGCCTTAGTTGCAGTGCATAGCAGAAATGCAGCCACTTCTGGTTTTGACCCTGGGGACTCAAATTCAGGGAGGCAGCCCCTGAGCGCCTGAGTACTGAACACCTGAGCACTGAAGACTGAAAGCCTGGAGGGGCTGCAAGCACTGGGGGTCTCTTCCCGCCCCTCTGCTGGAAGAGAGGTCCGGCCTTCCCAGCTGGCCTCCCCCAGGCCTCTGCTCGGCCTGTGTAGGCCCCTTCCTCCTGCCAGCCTCGGTCCCTGGAACCCCTCGGCCTGTCTCCGGCCTTTCAGATTTGCTCCTCTGAGCAAGTTAAGGTGAACGTGCTCCCTGAGGTGTGCCAGCTCCACCCGCAGTGACAAGCATTTGTGGGAAGATTTGCCCCCTTGAAGCAGAAGGGAAGGCTTCAGGGGAATGCAGGTGTCACTGTCCCCGGGATGGAGTCAGATCACTTCCTGAGCACCATCTGGGTTATCTGAGCAGTCCTGACTGCAGTCCTATGAGGTACTTGCCCCCAGCGGTGTAGCTGGCAGCTCCAGGATTTGAGTTTCTCTCACTTCGAGGGGACTAACCCTCCAGGCTCAGCCCCAGGACAGAGAGAGAAGGTGCGGGCAAGGAGTGAGGTTAGACACAAAGCCAGGGTCACACCAACCAGGCGGCATCCGCCTAGGAGAGCCCTGCCCAACTGGGGGCCTGAATTCTCTGGCATTTTTGTTTTAAAAAAAAGAGCGTGTGTGATGCAGTCACAATCCAGCTGTGTCACTAGCTGTGTGATTTTAAATCTCTGTGCCTCTCTGAGGCTTCATTTTCTCATGTGGAAAACAGACCCTGTGCACTGCAGAGTGGCTGGGAGGACAAACAAGATGCTGCCTAAAGGGCACAGGGCGGGGCTGACACACCTAAGGGCTCGGTAACAGTGGCTCGGCCGAGACCGGGCAGCGGGTGACCCCTGGTGGCCACTGGGAACCAGTGCATGAGGGCTGGGGGCGGGTGAGAAGTCTTGGATTTGAAGAATGGTTGAACCCTAGAATCTTAGATGGTGAGACTTGCAGAGACCTTGAATAGGAGAATTTAACCACTTAACAAATATTTCCTGAGGCTTTCTCTGTGCAAGGCCCATCCCAGGGAACACTCTCTTCCCATGTGGCCTCTTCAAGAGCCCCTGATTAAAATGGAGGGAGGCAGGTACAGCAGGGGTGTGCAGGGACCGAGGGGGCCTCCACCCAGCCCAGCAGGCAAGGGAAAGGCTCGCAGTGTGTGTGGGTGGGGGGAGCCTGAAAGAAAAGTTTGGTGCTGGGAGGAAAGGAGAACATTCTGGGCAGAAAAGCATGGGTAAGACGTTCAGAATATAGAGGAAATGAAGATGCAGCTGAGAAGCCAGCAGGGTCACATTTCACGCTGGGGGGTTCTCTGAAGGCAGCAAGGGACCTTCTAAGGGTTGGACACCTGGGAAAGTTACTGTGGCAGTGCAAGGAGGGGCCTGGGTGGGGGCAGCAAGTCTAGAAGGTGGCTGCTCTGGCACCCACGGATGGAGGTATGAGGGGAAAAGGTCACATGCAGGAGGCAGCTTGGATATGTCATCTGGAGCCCAAGGCACAGTGATCTGGGAGTCAGCAGAGTGAAGATTTGACATTTAACCAGCGCTGTCCGCCTCCACAGCCTGTGCCCAGCCCTAGGCCAGTGAAGGAAGTGGGGTGTCCCGGCCCTGCCTTGTTGGCTCTGCCCTGCACTGAGAGGCTTGCGTGCAGACTAAATCGGGTGCCCGTGTAAATGAAGCCTCCGGCCGGCCCGGCCCACACCGCCCTCCCCCAGGCACAGACACCCAGGCCCTGCTCTGCCTCGTCCCAGGCTCTGGCTCCAGAGGAGAGACTCGGCCACACTCAAAGGCAGGCCTGGTGTACCCAGGACTAGGACAGCATTCTCTAGGACCCTTTCCACCAGGACCCCTCTGGGCTGCCTCGCCTGCTCCCTCCTCAGAGCTCCCACCGCCCCTCCTCAGCCTCAGTCTACCCTGGGTGCCCGAAGTAGGACGGCCCAAGGTGTTGGTTTGGCCTCAGGACCAGGTTGGACCCAGCATCACACCCTACGCTCCTTGCTGCCTCTGAGCCCATCTTCCTGCTGTTTCCACGGTGAGCCTTGAGCAGCACCCGTCTCCCCAGCAGAGGCGGCCGGTGCTGCCAGCTCTGTGCGGGAGGAGGAAGGGGCCAAGCCTGGATCTGCCCGAGCCCACCAGCCCAAAGGGCTCCCTGTACCCCAAGTGCTGCAGAGAGCGAGCTTTCATAGTTTAGATATAATTTTTTCTACTTTGGGAAGAGAAAGTGAAGAGACAGAGATAAAAACAAAAAAAACAAAAACTACTATATTCTACCCAACCTATACTTTGTTTTTAAACCAACAGGCCAGGTCCTGCCAGGCCTTCTTCCCCAGTAAATCCTGAGGCCACCCTGACTCCCACCCCACCCGCTGCTCTGGAGCCCTGTGGAGCCGAGGGACGCTGTTCTTCAGGCTTCAGACCAGAGCTCCAGCCAGTCAGGGGAGTCGTGGCCCTAGTGCCAAAGCACAACCTTCCTCGCCTGGTCCACGCTCACCACGTGGCTCCCGGAGTAGCACCAGGCCACGGCGTTGATGGCGGCACTGAGGAGAGGGAGGGGCAGGCTTCAGGAGGCATCGGGAGCTGGGCCCACAGCCTGGCTCTGCCCCTCCCTGTTAGACCTGGGCAGTTTGCAGAACCTTGCTAAGCCTGTTTCCTCATCTGTGACATGAGCCCACAGGGCTGTGGTGCAGACAGACCCACATGCGTGTGGAAAGGTACCTCGAGAACCATGATGGGTCTGGGGGTGCGGGACAAGGGCTGGGGATGCCAGGCTCCCAAGTATGTCAGAACCTGGAATCGGCTCGGCAGGGCTGAGGCCGGGTCGGCACTGGTCCTGAAGCTGGGGTGGGCAGTGAGCGGGCGGGTGGTGGCCGTGCTCACCAGTGGGGTCCCCGCAGGCTGCTCTCCAGTTTCCCAGTGTCCACGTTCCAGATGTAAAGGGCTCCATCCCAGGAACCTGCCAGGGCATAGCTTCTGTCTGGGCTGCAGCGGCCACAGCAGAGCGAGAGAACAGGGCATCAGAGGGAGGACACACACAGGGGCAGACGGGGTGCGCTAGGGCACAGGCCGATGCTCTCACAGACACACCTGAACACAGCTTTGGTCCAGTCAGAACCGCACTTGAAGCCATCAGCCCTGAGGACAGACAAGGTCGGGGTCAGAATTGAGGCAGCCACCAGTCCTCCCTCAGCAAGGAACTGCAAGACGTCCTCTCTCTGTTGAGGGGCCGGGTGCCTCAGCAGGACCTGGTCTGGAGGGGCCTCCAGGGAGGGCGCCAAGAGGCCTTTTACAGGAGAGGCTCAGCTGCCCCCGCAAAGGCCCCGGAGTCGGCGGGCACGAGGCTGGTACCTGAATACCTGGCGGATGTTGCTGACACGCAGGTCGATGACCTTGAGTGTGTCATCTCGGGAACAGCTGAGCAGATGTAGCTGGTCATGGCTGAGGCTCAGGGAGGTGACACGGCCCTGCACAGGAATGACCTGGGTGCAGTGGGGCCCCCTGAGGAGCAGGAACAGAGACAGGGATGAGGAGCAGCCCGCCCTGGCCACTCCTGACAGGAAGGGGCTGGGCATGGCAGCTTTCCCAGCTAACAAAGTCCAGCGGCAGCCCAGGGCCTCGGATTGCTGGGGCCAAGGCTGACGGTGACGGACGTCCCTTCTCCCCACTGCAGCCAGCTCCCTCCATCGAGGAACTTGGGCAGACTCTGGTTTGACAGCTGGGGAGCACCTAAAACCCTTGGGTCACTAAAATGAGCATTGGAAAGAAAGCAATGAAAACTCTGTCTTTAAACACTTCAGTACAAGCATCGACTATAGTTGACAGCCACAGATGAACGCGCACAGCAACTTTAGCTGACAGCTGTGATATGAAGGCGCACAGCCCAGCGTCGACTTTAGCTGACAGCGGTGATATGACTTTTCTAATTTTTCATTTATCAAAATAAAATTGTGAACATTTAAAAATAACATAATGAAAACGTATGTATATGTTACCTATTCTGATTTACATTACAAGTAAAGCTGCCTGTAAAGTAAAACAAGCTTTCAGTGCTTTAAAGCTTTCCTCATCACACAAGAGCAAAACGGACTTGTTGTCAATGCACAGCACAAACTACCATGCGGACTATGAGTGCCGCTGTGGGCAAGGTTTTGCAGCCGGTGAGTGCCGTACCGAAGTGGTTAAAAATGTGAAAGAGGCTGGCCATGGTGGCTCATGCCTGTAATCCTAGCACTCTGGGAGGCCAAGGCGGGAGGATCACTTGAGCTTGGGAGTTTGAAACCAGCCTGAGCAAGAGCGAGACCCCATCTCTATAAAAAATACAAAAATTAGCCAGGCGTGGCGGCACACATCTGTAGTCCTAGCTACTCAGGAGGCTGAGGCAGGAGGATTGCTTGAGCCCAGGAGTTTGAGGTTGCTGTGAGCTAAGCTGACACCATGGCACGCTAGCCCAGGTGACAGAGTGAGACTCCATCTCAAAAAAAAAAAAAAAAAAAAAGAGAAAGATACTGGAGAACATTAGAGATTAATAAATAAATAAATAATACAAATGTGAAAGAGAGAGGCAGGCTGCAAACACAATTGCTGCAGACTAGTGAGTACAAGTCTAAGGCGGCCCAGCATTGGCTCTAGCTTTGCTTTTATAAACTGTTCAAGCCCAAAGTTGGGCTCTTAGGCTTATAAAACAACTAAAGGAATTTTTTTCCTTTGATTAAACAGTGATAACTAATGGGAGAGTCCAGTACCAGACTAATGGCCACTAGGATTGTTTCCTGGGGAGCTGGGCCCTCAGGGGCCATGCCAAGCATAGAGGCCATCAGCTGGTGGTGCCAGCCCCACAGCCTCACTTCCCCAAGATGCCACCACAACTCCTGCTGCCGGGGCCAGAGGAAGGAATGAGAGCTCCAAAGCCCTGCCCCAGGCTTCCACCACCCTACCCATAGCAAATGCCTGTCACCTGCTGTCCCAGAACCGGATCTTCTGGTCATTGTGGCCACTAATGATGATATGGTCCCCACACACCACATCGTTGCAGTAGGAAAGGACATTGATGGTCCTGGAGCCTGGGGACCAAGGAGCAGATCCGGGGCTTCAGAGGACAGTTACTGGGAGCCAGCCCACAGGACATATGGAGAAGCTGAGGCCCAGAAGGGTCTAAAACCAAGACTAGAACCCAGGTCTCCTGCTTCCCAGCCCAGGGCTCACTCCACCCCTTCGCCTACCCAGAGGTCACCAAGAAACTAGGCAGAAAACACCAATGGGGGATGGAGGAGGGCCTGTAAATCTCAGACCCACCCCCAAGAGCAGGGCGAGGTCCCTCGTGCCCCAGCAGGTGGGGAGGGGAGGCGGGGGCTGAGCCTCACAGTAGGCGCGGCCGAGGTCCCACTCCTTCACTGTCCGGTCTCGGCTCCCAGTCACGGCCTGGTGCTTCGTTAGCTTGAATTTGGCAGCTGTCACCTTGTCCTTGTGTCCAGATAATGTCTCCTGCCCCACCCCCATCCCAGGTATGGATCAAGGGCATGGCCATGACTCCATAACAGCCCCCCAGTCCTGAGGTATGACCCTTGACCCCCAGGCTGCCTCTGCAGCCAGGCCTCACCTTGGACTGTGCCTCCCCCACCTTCCAGAGCTGGGCAGCCCGGTTGTAAGTAGCTGCTAAAACCTGGGAGCCCTAGAGAAGGGAGTGGAAGGGGAGGTCCTCAGCCTGGGCCTGGCAGAGGCCAGAGAGCTGGGGCAGAGGCTGCCCCTGAGCCTCCCACAGCCCAGGTCACCATGGCAGGCAGAGGAGCCTCAGGCCCGGGAAGTAGGATTGTACGTGAGCTCAAGGCCACAAGGCAAAGTTCCCTCACCGAGGGGTCGAACTCCACACTGGTGATGCTGCCACCAGCTCCCTCGAGGGTCTGGTTGGCTTCCAGGCGACCTGGAGGGACCGGGGGAAAGGACAGTTGAAATGAGGTCAAGAACTTCATGAAATAGAGGAATCGGGAGTGACAGCAGGAAAATCAGTCTTCTCCAGGTAGAGGATAGAATCACTGGGTCTGTTCTGAGGGGCTGGGCTGGCGGCTGCACCTCCCTTAACTGCTGCCAGGGGGTCCCAGGGAGCAGCCAGTCATTTCACAGGCTGGAGAGGACCAGAGAGAAGAGAAGAGACTGTCCCTAGATCACACAGCAGGCCAAAACCAGGCCAGCTGGCAACTTGCCTTTTCAAGGAAGCCTCCAGGGCCCCACACCGACCCCCCTACAGAACACAGAGCTGGGACAAGGCAGATACTCAATTGAGACCTGAGAGCATGAGTAAAGCTAGAAGAAGAGGTAGCCTGCTGGACTTGGGACTTGCTCCTCAAGGGCCCATCCCTGGAGGACCTCACAAAGTTTTTCTGTACCCACCGCCCTGCGGACTCACCGTAGGGCGGTGGGTACAGAGAAACTCAGGGTCCCAAACACCAGGGACCATGGGAGCTCAGCCCTCTCCATCCTGCAGGTCTGGGCCCCAGCAACTGGCAGGGCTCACCCTTCTTCGGGGCAGTGAGCTCAAAGTCTCACTCTTGCCAAGGGCTTATCTAGCCACTGATCACAAAATGTTCCAGATGGAGAAACACAAAGAGGTCAAGACCTTTGCCCACCATGGCATTGCTGAAGATGGGGTCTGGAGGGAGAGCACTGGGTTAGCCTGCAGGGAAGGGGTCCTTACCTCCCACAACGTTCCAGAGGTGGATAAGGTGGTCAGCCCCTCCAGTGGCCAGGAGGCTGCTGCTGGGGCCAAAACAAACAGCACTGACCTCAGAGAGGTGGGCATCCTGTGGAGAAAAGGGAGGTTGGTGCCCCAGGTCCTCCCCGCACAGGCCTCTCAGTGTACACGCACAGGTTGTCTCTCACGCATGCCCGTGCACACCACACAGCCCTCTGCTGACTTGTTATCCCTGCCCCAGGTCTCTCCATCCAAAATTTTGAGTTGGGAACCTGACCCCACCAGGCCTCATCGCCGCTGCCCGGACCCCTGCAGCAGCCTCCCCGCCATGCTATTCCTCTGCCTGGCCTCCCTTCTCTGCCTCCCCAGTGCCCGCCCTGTTACAACATGCTGGAGTGGCTCCCGCAAGCTGTGGAAGGCAGCCTCCTGCCCCTGCCGAGGAGCCCCGCCTCACATCCCCGGCCTGCTGGGGCCACCCCTCGCACCTGTCCTCCTTTCCCACTGCCCCACCCGTGTGACCCAGCTCCTTCCTCACCAGCACGTCCTGAGCCCGGGTAGGAAGTCGGGCGACCATGCACACAGGGATGCTCTGGTATCGCTGCTCAGAGGCTCCTCCAATTGAGTGACCTCTCCTCTTCTTGAAACTGGGGGCAGAGGGGCAGGAGAGCCTTCAGCAGAGCCTCTGACAGGGGAGCCTCCAGCTGCCCTGAGCCAGCAACAGTGGAAAGCAGACATGGCAGGAGGCAGACGTGGCCCCACAGTACAGCGAGCACATTCCCCAACCTGGCCTCTGACCCCAGGGGTCAGTGTGCAGATAGGGCAGGGAATGCAGAGACAGACACAGGAGCAGGGCAGGGCGGTGGGTAGAGAGAAACTCAGAGCTGAGGTTTCAGTCCTGGCCTTGCCACTGCTTGGCTCCGTGACTCTGATCAAGTCCCCGACATTTCTGAGCCTCAGTTTCCCAACTGAGTGGGAGTTCCTATCTGGCCCCAGGCTGGAGCTCTTGGTTCCTGTGAGGCCTCTGGGTGAGGACAGAGCCTTGTAAGGACAGACCCTGGAAGACAGCTGAGTAGGGACTGGGGATGAGGCCACACATCCGGCTCCTACCTCCCAGGCCCAACAGAGACTCACAGACAGCTGGGCGCTATATGGAAGAGCAGGTCAAGACACACACAGACCAAGACTGGGCTCAGGGAGCCTGACATGGGGTGCCAGGGGGTCCAACCCCTTCACACACATGGGGCACACACACAGAACACACACTTACTCCAGAAGCCCCTTTACCACATCCACACAGCGGGACAGCGTCAGGGAGGTGGCTGAGGCAGACCTGGGACAGAAACAAGAGATGCGCTAAGGGACTGGCCCCTGTGTGTGCAAACAGCTGTCATTTATCCCTGCGCTTTGCCGGAGACCTGGAAGCTCATGACCTCTCAAGCATGGGACAAGAACTGGACTTCTACCTGACCCCATAAGTGCCCACCAACAAAAGCTCCTGGCAAACTGGGGCCTATGGGGAAGGGGGGAAGGCAAAGGTGCCCCCAGGCTAGGACAGTACAAGCCTGGCAGGGAGAGCCAGGGCTTGCTGAGTGACCTCAGAAATGCCCAGCAAAGAGTGTGTCCTGGGATGACATGGCTGACCAGAGCTGCTAATGACTTTGGGACCAGCATCTCATGCCTCTCTCCAAAGTCCCCTCACTGCCCTGATGCCTGAACACTGGGGACCTGCAAGGAAAGGCTGAGAAGAACCTTCAGGTTAGGGAAAGAGTCAGAGGTGGCAGCCTCAATGACAGGCAAATCAAGACAGATGGGGGAGACCTAGCAGAGGGTACCCAAGGATTGAAGCCCCAGTCAGGCCCCATCAGAGTGAGCGTGTATCTACACATGCTCATAAGTCCACAGGCACTCAGGTTCGCACACTCAAGCTTGTACACACACATGCCCCACGTCCCTGAGTATGTACACGCTTGCACACCTGTGCCTGCACACACGTGCCTGGGACAGCTGGGCCCTGGGCCTTGCCCACAGGATCTCCCTGGTGATATTCAGAAGTTTGACATCCCACACCCTCTGCTGAGGAGGGGATGGGTTGAGGGCAGGGATTGGGGTCCCTGAGATGGCACTGACCATAAGTGGCTCCAGGAAATGGAGGTCAGACCTGTCCTGAGAGGTCTGAGCTATCCCTCAGCCTCTCCCCAAGCCACGTTCCAACCCAAGAGCAGGCCCCAAGGTCTTAGAGGAAGATCCTGGCAGCCTCTGGGATGGGGCTCAGCTCAGAACTCTGGGACAGCCACCTGGGTCCTCACCTGAAGGGCCTCTTCCACTTCTCACAAGCCTCTCTCTCCAGGGACTCCGGCTCCGGGGCCGGGGCCAGGGCTGAGGCCTCAGCCCCCTCTTTGATCCCACTGCCTAAGGTGTTCTGGCTCCTAGGAGAGGGAAGGAAGCTCAGAGAGGCCAAGGATCCAGGCCGGCCCCTCCCTGCCCCAGCGCGGGTGCGGTGAACTCCTAGTGATGAGGGGTTCTGTGGGCGCACGTGAGGCATGCACGCGTGCGGGCTCCTATGTCTGCACGAATCCCGTGGACCCCATCTACTTGGGGATCTGGGGACTGCGGCTGTGCACACGTGCAATTCAGGTGTGCCGGGCGTGGCTAGCAGGAGAGGAAGGGAGGCAGAGCTGGAACACAGGAGGCAGAGCCCACCCATCCCCGCTCTTACTCGCTGATGCTCACAGTCCGCCTGGCAGCCTTCTTCAGCTCCTGGGACACCTGCGCCTGCTTGGCCCTGGAGGGTAGAAAACGATCCTGAGAGCCAGGCGCACCTCTCGCCTGGAAGTAGGGCTGGGGAGAGACCGGCCCTACTCCTCAGGGTCCCCGGCCTACCCTCCGAAGGGGCGGGGCCCAGCTACCTACCGCTCCCGGCGCTCGTTGCGCAGGTTGCGCTCGGCGGCCGCGCGCGCCTTGCGCTGCACCAGCCGCTCCAGCAGGTCGCGCGCCTGCTCCTGGAGCCCTCGCAGGGTCTCCTCCTGGAGCCCGGTGTTTGCGCGCAGCGCCTCGTAGGCCGCCCGCCGCTCCGCATTCCGCGCCTGCAGCTCCGCTACCTGCCCTGCCTGCTGCGCCCGCGCCTCTCGCAGCTGCGCCACGCGGGCCTCCAGCTCCGCCAGCCTGGAGGACAGGGAGAACGGTAGGTGGGTCCCGAGCTGCCTCCGTCACTGCCCAGCGGAACCCACCTCAGAGCCGCGACAGACTTGCCCCTGACCACAGGGCCAGCCCGCCCGCCGGCTAAGCCAGCTCTCCAAACAAGCTTTCGCCCTCAGAGGCCTGCCGGGTCCCTCTGATGCCCACGACAGGCCTGGGGCTGTTTGGGAACGCAGGCTAGCTCTCAGGCCCACACCATTCCCCTGCCTCGGGCAGAGTTGATCCCCAGCCTCCCACTGGTGGGCACGGTCTTTCTCCAACCCGCCAGCGCCTCACCTGCTTTGCCGCTCCTGCAGCTTCAACTCTAGGGCGCCCAGGGCTGCGCTCTTCTCCACCACCTGGTAGGCCATCTGAGGGCGGCAGACGGCAGGACATGTGGGCATGGGCACCTCTGTGCAGCGCTCACACCTGGCCTGCACCCCTCTGGAGCAGACGGGGCTGGTGAGGAAGTCTGCTACTCCACCCGCCACCTCTCTACTGAAAAGAAAGCTAAGCCTCAGGAGTCTGACACCTGGGTTTCCCTCCTAGCTGTGTCACTTAGTTTCTGTGACTCTGGGGTAGTCATTGGAACCTCTCTGGCAAGAGGAATCTGCTCCATTTCCTCACCTGTAAAATGGGAACAATAGTGCTTACCTCATAGGGTTGCGCAGATTATGAGGAATAACATTTCAAATACTGGCAGACGACTTACAGCACTTGCCTGCGCCATGCCTTGTTCTGAGCACTGCACTCTACACACATTCTTTTAATCCTCATAACACCATAGGTAGGTACTGCCATTCTCCTTCGACAGACGAGGACATTGGCACAGAGAGGTTAAGTGTCTTGCCCAAAGTCGCATAGCTAAGTGGCAGAGTTGATATTTGAGCCCAGGCCAACTAAGTACATTATCCTCCAGGTAGCATAGGTCGCCAGCCTTTTTGGCATCAGGGACCGGTTTCATGGAAGACAATTTTTCCAGCAGGGGGTGGGGGGAGGGCACGGGGGTGGAGCTTGGGGCACTGATGTACAGCTGGCCGGTTCCTAACAGGCCACAGACTGGACTGATAGCCGTGGGCTGGGGGTTGGGACCACAGAGGTAAAGCGCTGATCTACAGGAGGGGTTCAAGGGATGTGAGTTCTGTTCCCCTTGTCTCCAACAGCTGGCTGTGCCATCCCCAACCCCTGGCCTGCACAAGTACCAATCTCAGAGAGCAGGGCTAAGACCAGGAAGGGACTAGGAGCACAGGGTCCAGACTCAATGCTGGAGCTGCCCCACCAGCCCGGGCGCGGGGTGAGGGTCATTTCATCTATACCCGTCTCACTCAACATTCCTAACAGCCAAGAGCTGGCAAAGCCCAACTCCCACCTTTGGGTGCTGAGGGGGTCAGTGAGAAAGGCCAGGCAAGGGACTTCTAACCATTGTGGCAAGAGGAACATGAGGGCTACAGGCTCTGAGTGCCTCTGTCCCAAGCCAAGGCTGGGGGCTCTTGTTAACCTGTTCCTGTGTTCTCATGTGGGCCTCCTGAGGACGGGCTGGGGAGCAAGGCTGGTGCTGGCCGCCTGCACCAACACGATCCTTGTGTGAATAGGTCTGTGGAGCGCCCTTGCACATGCAGGGCAGGGCACCTATTTTCATAACTGGCCCAGTGTATAACATTTGTAATTCTCTTCACTATTGAGCAATCTGATCACCACCACCTCTACTTCCTCACATGTCACTTGCTTTCCTTTGTGTTGTGTTTCACCATTCGATATATATATATATTTTTTGATGCTTTTCAAAATTCACGTAAGAGGTGGAAAACTGATTAGTGGTTGCCACGGGTTAGGGATGGTTGGGAGGAGAGAGTTGAATGTGACTAAAAAGGGGGAGTAAGGGCCAGGCACAGTGCCTTACGCCTGTAGTCCCAGCTACTCGGGAGGCTGAGGCAGGAGGAGTTTGAGGCTGCTGTGAGCTATGACGAAGCCACTGTACCCCAGCCTGGGCAACAGAGCAAGACTCTGTAGCAAGAGGGAGATCTTTGTGGTGATGAAATAGTGCCATATCTTGATGGTTACACAAATCTACATGTGATAAAATGATGAACTATATACACGCTTTCATACCATTATCAGTTTCCTGGTTGTGTGTACTATATTTACATAAGATGTAGCCAATGGGGGAAACCAAGGAAGGGTACACAGGAACTCTCTGTACTATCTTTGCAACTTCCTGTGAATCTCTATTTCAAAATAAAAAGTTAAAATAATAACGATAAATGGTTGTGTTCTGTGAAACAGTACTAAGGAGACTTAAAGGAAAAGCCCCCTTCCCGTCCCATGGCACACCCAACAAGAACAGACTGGTGTGCGCCCAGGGAAGGAGTGCTGAGGGCGAGAGGTGCACGGAAGCCTGGGGGCTAAGGGAGCCGTGAGCTCAAAGAGATACTGCAGGGGGCTGGAGAACCCTACTGGGAGCCGGGCTGAGGAGCTCTGGAAGATCTATACCACGCTGGTGCTGGGGAAAGGTGGTGAAAGGGGTTTTACTTTTTACTCTATGGGTTTCTGTTCTCTCAAATTCTTTACAACAAGCATGTTTGTGTACTGCTTGCCTTTAGTGGAGATCATTTTTGTTACTAAAAGATACCATTTTGAATGCTACATGAGGAATGGATAAGAGGTAACAAAGGAGGGGTCATCCAGGGAGGGATGAGAGTAACTTTGACCAGGTCAGATGTGGTACCGGAAACAAAGAGAAGTTGATAGATTTGGAGGCAGAGTCAAAAAGCTCTGGAGAGAGGGCTGGGAGGAGTCAGAGTGCCTTGAGTTTCCAGTGTGCATGACAGCCACTGGGGGGCAGTCACGGAAGGACAGGACACCACATTGTCACTCAGTCTACACATACTCATTAGTATGGACTGTGGAGACAGGCCCCAAGGATACAGCAGTGGCAAACCAAAGGCATCCCAGGTCTTAGGGGGCTCACAGCCCAGCAGCTGGGGTCAGATGTTTGAAAATCACCTCTCAAGCAAACATCAAGTTGCCACTGCAACAGCAGCTCTGGGGGAGAGGCTCCCAAATGAGTTCATACCCCATGCCAACACCTTTGTGGGGAAGGTGACTTGCATGCTGTGACTGGCTGTGTGTTTACTGGTGTATCACAGTCTCCTCCAGAGAACTGGAAGCCCCATAGGGCCAGGTTTGCTCACCACTGGATTTCCTGTTCCTTGGCTATAGCAATTGTCAATAATTGTCAAAAGAATGAACGGAGATCACAGAAGGTGGCTTTGCATAGGAGGGAGTTCAAAGCCTGGCTCAACCTCTCTAAACCTCAGTTTCCTCTTCTGCAACCAGAAAGTTGTGAAGGATTAGCTGAGAAAATGCTTAGCCCACTGCCTGCAGGGAGTCAATGGTGTTGGCCATATTATTACATGGGAGATGGCAAGTCTGAGTTTAGATCTGATATGTAAAACGCCACTGAGCAAGAGAGTCATGAGCTCAGCAGAGAAGGCTGGGCTAGACACAAACTTGGGAGTCAGCAAGGAGATAGTCTCTGATGGCACGAAGTCAGTGAGCCATCCAAGCTCTAAGAACAACCATATTCAAAGGGAGGGGAACAGGGAGGAGGGAAAGGAGCCAGAGAAGGAAGTTCAGAAGCAACAGCCACAGAAGTGAGAGGAAAGACAGGAGAGTGTGGGGAAAGAGAAGCCAAGAGACAGCACTGCAGTGCAGGGGGTCAGGACAGGCAGTAGTGTCAGGTGGAGGGACCACATCCTGCCCACAGACTAAATAAGCTGTGTTCGTTTAGTCTGCAAATGTACATTGAACACAACTGGTGCTACGCCCTGGGGTTGGCTGGGCAGGGCGTGATGAGGAGAGGAGTGAGCAGAGCAGGCTAAGCTCTGCTCACGGGGAGCAGCTGTCCTGCTCACTCCCTCCAGCTGCTGCCAGGGCTACTCTGACTCCTGCCCAGCTTCAAGTCTGGGCCCAGTACACACTGGTGCTCACTCAATGCCTGTAACAGTTGAGTTGGGAAATGCTGCAAACTTAGCAAATACCCCTCACTTGCTGGCTCCCTTAGACCACGTCCCCCAGCCCCAAAGTTCTGGATTTTGGCCACCCCATTCTCAGACCCCTGCCCAACTTACCTCACCACACTCCAGCCGGAGCCCCTCCTCCTTCTCCTGCCACTTCACCCTCAGAGTGGCCAGTGATGGGGCTTGGTCTGAGCCAGGCCCCGAGTCCTTGTCCCTGCCAACCAATCAGAGAGTGGTGCTCTTTGTCCCTCCATTCACCCCAGTGCCTGAGGCACCCAGGGGAGGCCACATGAAAGGCCTGAAACAAGAGCCATTAACTTCCTCCTGGGGAAGACTGAAGCCAGCAAGCCAAAAGGAAAGAGCAAGTCTCCAGAAATGGGCAATCTATGACTCCTCTGCTCTGGGAAGCCCCCATCCCTTGGATACCTCGGCCAAGGATCCTCCTCAAGAAGCACCTTGCAACTCGGAGCCCCAACCCATTCCTGGTTCTCACCGTCACTCCCTCTTTGGAACAGGCAGCAAGACCTTTCTGTAGGCATCAGGTGAGGAATAGGGAGATGGAAAAAGACTGAGAAGGAGAAAAGACAGGAGTGCAGGGTGGGAGGGCAAGGAGATGGGACAAATGCAGAGAGAGGGGCTGAGAAGGGTGGTGAGAGAGGAGATTCTAAGCAGCTGGACTGGGGAAGGCTCAAGGGCCCGCCTCCCCCCACACCACCAAGGCTGGGCAGCAGCCAGTGGTGATGAGGTACCAGGAGAGAACCCAGCGTAGGCATTGGGGCAGTGCCCAGGCACAGGCAGCCCATTGTGACCATGGATACACATATACTCACCAGGGGCCCTGGTGGGTGGCAGGAGTGACATCATTTGGCTCTGGCTGCAGCCTCTCTGAGAACTTGTCCAGCAGCTCAGCCTTCTCTAGGAGGCAGTTATCTGGGGGTGCAGAAGTGAGCCTGGAGACAGACACTTTCCAGCAGACCCCTGGCATATAAGTCACCTCTGGCAGGAGGGCTGCAGGAGCCCAGGAATGCTGGGAATGGGAAGGCTTCTGGTGGGTTGGAGGGGTGTTCGTGCAGCTCAACAGGACCTTCAGCCCTGGCACAGCCTCCCCACAGCACTGGCCCTTAGACCCACCCAGAAAAGGACCTGCTGTCCCAGGGACAGAAGGGGACCACTGCTGGGAACATCCAGGGATGCCTGCTGAGGGTCTTGAGAGAAAGATGGGGCCTGGGATTGATTCTTCCCTGCCCCAGAGCAGGGCTCGGCCCCAGAAAGTGATGAAACAAACTGAGCTCCACCTACCTATTTCCTTTGGCAAGTCACTTCCCCTCCAAGGCCTCTAATTATCTAGACTAAAAAATAATCCTAACTTTCCCAGGGTTGGTGTGAGGTCCCCAAACCAGAAAAGAAAGTCCTTGAGCAATTATCCAACAGACCTTAGTTTGGTGGTTTGACCCTGAAACACACCCCTTCCCCCATCCAGTGTCACTTCCTCTTTCCCACCAGTTCCAGGGTAGGGTGGGGGTGGTAAGCGCAGGCCTAGCTCCTCAGCAACCTTCCCTTACCCATTGCCCTGCCTATACCTTGAGGTCCTGGGTCTGGCCTAGTTCTCACACAAATCCCACCTTAGCGCCCAGAGCACTGCACTGCCCCACCTCCAGCAAATCTAAAAAAGATTCCTGTGTCCAATTTACAGGTAAGAAACCTGAGGCTTGGGGAGATGACCTGCCCAAGACCACAAAGATGACTGGACCTTCAGTCTGCTTGATTTCAGCCCTCCGGGTCTCTCTAGTCCCTCAGACTTGCAGCATCCAGAGGGTAGGTGGGGGGTGACTCCTCTGTCAAACTGGATGGTTCCATGCCCATCAGAGGAGTGGAGAAGTGCAGCTGGCTGGAGGTAGGGAGCTAGCCTCACAACCCTGTAGGGAGAGGACCAGCAGCCTGGAAGGTGGCTGTGGTTGGACTTTGACCCCCATACATACAATCTCAGGTGACCAGAGGTGCTATACACAGATGCACACCTGTTCATTCTGTCTTGAACTACCACACCTCCTGACCCATACCTCCCCGGGGCCCAGCCAGCAGCCTCCCACAGCCTGGGGACCCCTGACTCTCCTCAGGCTGGGTTAGGCTGGCACACGGGGCACCACAAACCTGCGCCAGGATCACCTATCGGTAGCAGAGCCCGAGACTCAGAGTTCCACTCCTTCCCTGGACCAGCCAACAAGTGTCTGCGCTGGACAGTCCCACGTTCTTTGTGCTACCGGGATCAGGCCCTACCCTGGGGACCGCCGGGGAGGGAAAGGCACAAGAGACTGCAAAACCCACACTCAGGGACGAATTTGTATCTGGGAAGCCAGCTCGTGGGAGGCAGAGCAGGGCCCTGAGGGGTAGGAGGATGGGGCTCTGACCGGAAAAGGGTTCTAAGCAGAGCCTGGATTGGAAGGAGCAGGAATCCTGGCCAGTAAGGGGTGGGGTGTAACAGACTCAAGGCGCAAGGCACAGGCCCCCGGAAGCGCGAAGGCGCTGGCACACTTGGGTCACAGCTCAACGAGCCAGACAAGCCCTCTCCCCGCGCCCAGAGCCCCGTCCCCTCAACGGCCATCTCCCAAGCCCCCCGGGGCGCACTCACAGGCCGGCACCAGCTCCAGGAAGAGTGCCTTCTGCGTGCGGTCCCGCTGCCGCAACTGCCGCACGATGTGGCGTTTCCAGCGGGCGGCGGGGGTCCCGGGCCCCGCCATGGCCGCCCTCCCGCGCTCGCGGCGCGCACCTACGGCCCGAAGGGCGGCCGGGCGGGGGCGGGGCCTCGGCCTCGCGGGACTCCGTGACGGCGGGCGCGGGCGGCGGCGGGGAATCCCCGGGTTGTCCTAAGCGCGGTCGGGGGGAAGAGCTGAACGCAGACGGCGAGCGAAGCCGCCTCAGGGTCTCCACCGCTGGGGCCTCACCACAAATTTTTATCTAAGTGGTGGTTCCCATTGCTGCGAGGGGCGATAAGCAGGGAACAAGGGGCCTGGCCTCCCCCACGCCTGGTGGCGCGCTCCGGAGGCGGGTCCCCAGGGCCGGCGCTCCTTAACCCCACAGCGCCCCGACCGAATTCAGGAGTGGTAGAGTCTCTCGCAGGCCGCGTCTGGACCTGGCCGCGCTCCAAGCTAGGACAGGGAGACCCCTCACATCGGACTCTGAGTGGACACAGTCGTAAGGTACACACAGTATGACAGCCAGATAAGAAAGCACAGAAGAGGGAGAGACTGAAGGGAAGAGGCCCCGCTTTGCGAAGATGATGGCATTTAAGCTGGGTTTGTGACTAGTTGGCCTGAGGGAGAGAGAAAAGCGACTCTGGGCGGCGGGAAGAACAAGTGCAGAGGTTCCACGGCATCAAAACTCCCAGTGGGTTCGGGAATGGAAGGACGGTAGGCAGAACCGCCCATGTGGGGAGCAAGGTTTAGGGGCCCAGATGGTCGCCGAAAATTTAGGTCCCCGAGAGTAAAGGGACACAGCTGATTTTATCTGGAAAGGTCCTGGCCCAGAGAAGAGAAGGGGCTTGCTTGCCTGAGGGTGGTTGCAAGTGGCTAAGCTGGCAGCAGCCCAGTGTCCCGACTCAGGACTCAGTGGTTCACTGCATTTGGGCCGCCTCTGGAGGAGCAGAGACATCTCCTATGGTACGCTTGAAAGTGAATCATGGGTTGCAGGGAACGATGATAAAACTGTCTCTAGCAAGGCCCCTGTCCAGAGCTTTGCAGGCTCAGGTTGGTGTGAGAAACAAAAGGAGGAATTGATTCACTGGCACAGCCTCACCCTGGGGCATGCCAGCAGGCCCTGGCCTCAGTAAGTGATTGCAGCCCTGGCCATCCCCAGTAAACAAGGAGAAATTGGGTGCTGTTGGGGAGCCATGTAGGCCCTGAAGGTGATAAGAATGTTGAGATTCTGATAGGGATGGGTCACAGGACTTAGAAAGCAGTGAAGGCCAGTGACACCCCAGAACAGTGTATCCTGCTCTCCTTAGAAACCACAATGAACTGGGCTGAGTCCCTCACATGTCACTGTCTTAAACCCTCAAGGCCTTTGCACATGTTGTGCCTGATGTTGGGAACACCTTCCCCTCTAGTCAGCTTGGCTGCTACTTATGCATCACTTCCTCCAGGAATACTTTTCTGCCCCTGCACTGAGCTAAGGCTTCTCTTGATACCAGCCCCAGGGCAGCCATAGCCCTATATGTCCTCTGTCACCACAGTCATCACACTGTGTTATGATTTGTGGGGTTCCCCTTGGGACAGGGCTTGGGTCCCAGGTATTTCTGCATCTCTAGTGTCATCAGCCCAGGCCTGGCCTGTCTGTTAAGGAATACTTCTGTTGAAGGTGGGTGATAACATTCACCAAAAGCCATGCCCAGGAGAAGGGCCTGCTACCCATGGAGAACAAGGGGTAGTTGGCAACAGTGATGAATTCCCTTTAGGACTGGCTGATTCTTGAGTGCTTGGGGACACCATAAAAGGAACTCTGGCTGTGTGCATTGGAGGGTGTGTTAGTAGGATTCTGCCTGGCTGTGAGGTACAGAGATGCTATTTCTCTCAGTTGAGGAGTCATACTGGGTACAAGCTTTCATAAACTTTTTTTTTTTTTTGACACAGAGTCTCATTCTGTTGCTCAGGCTCGAGTGCCATGCTGTCAGCCTAGCTCACAGCAACCTCAAACTCCTGAGCTCAAGCAATCCTCCTGACTCAGCCTCGCAAGTATCTGGGACTACTGGCACTCACCACCAGGCCTGGCTAATATTTTTTTCTAATTTTTAGTTGCCCAGCTAATTTTTTTCTATTTTTAGTGGAGACAGGGTCTCACTCTTGCTCAGGCTGCTCTCAAACTCGTGACTTCAAGCAATCCTCCTATCTTGGCCTCCCTGAATGCTAGGAGTACAGGTGTGAGCCACTGCACCCAGCCAGTAATCCTTTTTTGACTCACAAAACACTCCTAGGAAATTTTAAATAATTTTCTCATTTTTGAATACTATGTGATAAAGGAGTGATGGATTTTGAGTAAAAATATTTATCTTCTATTTTTAGAATATGAAAGGTTGTATTATAAAGGAAAACTAGCTGGGTATGTTAGTACACCTATTGTCCCAGCTACTCAGGAGGCTGAGGCAGGAAGATCACTTGAGCCCAGAAGTTCGAGGTTGCAGTGAGCTATGATTATACTACTGCACTCCAGCCTTGGTGATAAAGCAAGACCCCATCTCTAAAAAATAAAATAAAGAAAAATGAGCAATGGTTTTTATCAGAAGAAGAAAATGAAAATTCACTTTTCTTGCATGTACCCCTCAAAAAAGAAAGAAGATATCATCCAGAAAAAAATAAAACAATGCATAATCAGTGAAATATAAGGTAAAATTAAAATGTGAGGTCATTTTTTATTTACCAGATTGGCAAAAATTAAGAAATTGAATAATACAGTAACATGCTACATAACATTTTGGTCAATAACAGACTGCATAAACAACGAAGGCACCATAAGATTATAAAGCCAGCATTTTTACTGTACCCTTTCTATGTTTAGATACACAATTACTTACCACTGTTACAACTATCTACAGTATTCAGTACAGTAATGCCCTGTACAGGTTTATAGCCTAGAAGCAATAGGCTATACCATATAGCCTAGGTGTGTAGTAGGCTGTACCATCTAGGTTTGTGTAAGTACACTCTATTGTGTTCACACAATGACAGAATCACCTGCATTTCTCACAAGTTAAGCGACATATGACTATGTTCACATTTGGTAAGGGTATGGGATACTTGTTCATTGCTGGTGGGAGTGTAAATTGGTTTAATCTCTTGGGGGGACAATTTGCCCATATCCAATATATATAGGCAGTCCCGGGGTTACGCATAAGATACATTCCTGAGAATATCTTTAAGTTGGATTTGTATGTAACTCAGATCCCTGATGAATAGCACATATACAGTAATATTAACAACACTGTAATGGCTCATATGTGATAATAATACAATGTAATATTTATTGTATTTCACTGTAATAATAATACACCTGTGCTGTAATAATAAGTTACAAAAACTATTGTGCTTTTTAAAAATTCAAACAAACAAAATATAAAAACAAACTCATACAAAAAGTTTAGATAGGTGATAAGAGAAATTTCAAAAAAGAATATTAAAGGTTAACACTCACTAATGTTGCATAAACACTAGGCTAATAGGAATGTTATACTCCTTTTGATCTAACCAAATTAATAATAATCTTCCATTTCAATAATTAATCCACTTGCTGGTTAGTAATAATTGATGCTTTCTTTGGAGCACTGCCTTTTACATGTTCCGTTATTCTCCCTTTATCCTTTATAATTATTCTGATAGTCCAGTGACTGAAGCCTAATACTTCCCAGTAAATGATGGAATCTGGCCTTTCTCTGAATGCTTAATTATTTCTACTTTCTTTTCCATTGTAGTCACCTTTCTCTTTACCTCAGGCTCACCCGGACTTGCAGTGGACTTTTGCTTTGAAGTCTTGGACATAAGGGTAAGCACAGACTCACAAAATCAAATCAAAAAAGTCAAGATGAGAATGATGCTGTGCATAAGCGACCATATAAACAATAAGACCAGCCACTAACATAAAGATGCTGCACCAATGGATTGCTTACGCCATGCAGGTTTATTTGCGTGTGCAGAACTAGTCCCAAATTATTCATTTAATTATTTAGTTATAAATTATCCTTATGGGGAACCCGGGGAGTCCATTTGTAAGCATAGGACACCATAAGTCAGGTTATTTGTAATCTGGGGACTACCTGTATACACACCTTTGGACCCATCAGTTGCACTCCAGTGTGCAACAGGACAAAGGGTTACATATATCCTGGTACATCCATATGATGAGATCCAGTGCAAGCCAAAGAAGGAGCATGATCTGTGTGTCCTGACATTGGAAATATGTGTCTATACTTCTTAAAGCCCAACAGGTTTATTTTTTGTTTCTAATGTTCTGTTCTGTTTCTATTTTGTTTTTTGTTTTTGTTTTTTTTTTCAGACAGAGTCTCACTTTGTTGTCCAGGCTAGAGTGAGTGTCATGGCATCAGCCTAGCTCACAGCAACCTCAAACTCCTGGGCTCAAGTAACCCTGCTGCCTCAGCCTCCTGAGTAGCTGGAACTACAGGCATGCGCCACCATGCCCGGCTAATTTTTTCTATATATATTAGTTGGCCAATTAATTTCTTTCTATGTATAGTAGAGACGGGGTCTCACTCTTGCTCAGGCTGGTTTCCACCTGCCTCGGCCTCCCAGAGTGCTAGGATTACAGGCGTGAGCCCGGCCTGTTCTGTTTCTAAATGATGAGATAAAAGGTTCAGAATGCTGTTTGCATGCATTCAGTTTGCACAAATAACACCTCTGGCAGTGGCTGGTTTTAGTCTTGGTGCATGAAATACCAAATGGGATATGACTGATCATCACATCTACCATTTTTCTCTTTTGTAGAAGTGACTTTGCAGTCTTAGTGACATCTGGATGTGTTGTGTATGGGTTTTGATAAGATAAACGCAAGAATCTGGTAACAATCATGTTGAAGCAAATTTACAGGTTTATTGTTATGCTTGTTTTTAATTAATTATTTATGTCCATAACCAACAGCCCACCATAGATTATAACTAATTAATATAGAAATAAAAATTAAACAGTTTAAAAGTGTGAAATCATTAAAAATATCCAGGGCATGGGTTAAGTGGTTTCTTCTGCAGTTTGTTTGAGCTGCTATAACAAAATACCTTAGACTGGGTAATTTATAAACAACAGAAATTTATTGCTCACAGTTCTGGAGGCTGGGAAGTCCAAGATCAAGGTGCCAGCAGATTCAGTGGCTGGTAACTCCCTTTCTGCTTCAAAAATGGTGCTTTCTCTCGGTGTTCTCCCAAGAGACTGGGGAGCTCCCTCAAGCCTCTTTTATAAGGACACTAATCTCATTCATAAGGGTAGAGCACTCATGACTTAATCACTCCCCAAAAGCTACACATCTTAATGTCATCACATTGGCTATTAGGGTCCAACATATGAATTGGAGGAGGGCACCAACATTCCAACCACTGCAGTAGCTAATGGAGTCTTGGGACCCCTTGACCTTACCTGCATACCACATGCACTCACTATTGACTATTACTTTTATAAAAGTTGCTAGAATCAAAGTGAAGTCACTAGTGTTAAAACAAAAACTCTAACAATAGAGCCAAGGGAAATATATGAATAGAGATTTCTGATTGAGTACAGTGGCTCACCCCTATAATCCTAACACTTTGGGAGGCCCAGACGAAAGAATCTCTTGAGGCCAGGAGTTTGAGACTACCCTGGGCAACATAGTGAGGCCCCTATCTCTACCAAAACAATTTTTTAAAAAAACCTAGCCTGGGCATGGTGATATGCACCTGTAGTCCCAGCTACGTGGGAGGCTGAGGCAGGAGGATCTCTTGAGCCCTGGAGTTTGAGGTTAGAGTTCTCTATGATCTCACCATTGCACTCCAGCCTGGGCAAAGAACAAGACCCTGTCTCTGAAAAATAAATACATTTTTAAAAAAGAAAAAGAAAATTTAAAAAAATGTTTCTTGTACTTGTATGCCTGATAACAAACATTATCACAAAAGACTGCAAAAACCACAACCTTGCACAAAGGCCAAAACAACCTTGAACAAAAAAATACTTCTATAAGGAAATCTGCCTAGCAACTGCCTGTCCAATCCTGGACTGGCATCACCCTTGTTACTGATCTTTGAAGCCAAAGATAATTATTTCAAGACAATTATGTAATCCTCCTCATTTTTTCCTTTAAAAACCTTTGTCTTTCTTTACATCCCTAAATACCTACATAGTTTGCTATGATACATGTATTCCTGTTGCAATGCTCTTTCCCAAATAAACATTTTCTTTTAGAAAGCCTCTTTCTGCTTGTTATTTAGATTGACTCTTTAAAGGGAAAATATTATTTAGGATGGGATGAGCTAAAACTACACCCCTCCTCCCACCAAGGAGAAAAAAATGTAATTTCAGCATCATTCAATATTAGCTAATGTGAAAAATGCTTTGAAATGGGTAAAAAAGTAGAAGATGACCCCATATTATTTTTTAAAGAGCTAGGTTAAAGTTATGTGAGTAAGAGGAACACATATTTCTTTGGCAGATGAGATGTCGCACAGGTGGAGTGGAATGAAGTGGCAAGAGGGTCCTTCACAAGGACATTATTAATAGATCCTCAAGTTGTTGAAGTGTTTGGTTTCAAGAAGTGTTAGAGAGAAAACCAAGCACAGGTAAAGGGAAGATTCCTCCTACAGTATTCACCCTCCCTCCCAGCAGCAGATAGGCCACAGCCTGCCCCTGTGCAGATCTCTCAGAGTTGGCCCCAGGAGAAAGCCACCAGGCTCAGTGAACCCAAGTGGCTGTGAAATTTCCAAAGCACTAGAAGGGACCTGGGACTGGGTGGGGTGGGGACACTGGAAGGGCTTTAAGGAAGGGGACCATGAGAGCTTAGATCAGTAGAAGGGGGAGACAGGTGGGACCTCCTCTGCAGCGCCCACCTTGAGGCCCAACCCTTTGTTAAAGGGACAGGGACAAGAGGTAGAGCAAATCAAGCTTCGTTTCTATCTCCTTCCACCTGAAAACCTCCAACTTTCTAAGGTTTTCGGTCATGACCTATGTGAAAAACAACTGATTCAATGTAATGCAGTTTAAGGACAGAGGGTGAAGAGGTACCTGGCCCAGGTGAGGAGTGTCTCCTACCCATTCCATGGTGAGAGGTAGTTAGTGCCTAGTTCTTACTTGGAACAGCAGTGAATAGTGGTTGCCCTCTAATCAAAGAAAGAATCAGCCAACAACAACAACAACAAAAAATTTCATTTTTGAACACACTGAGTTTAAGGGACTAGTGAGTCAACCAGAGGGAGATGTCCTAGAGGCAGGAGAAAGGCCTAAGTGGGAGGTTAGGGAGTTGTAAGCATATGGATGGAAGTGAATGACGTCATCCAAAGAAAGTGTGCAGAGTGAAGAGAGGGCCTGTGACAGACCTGCAGGGTGCCAGTATTTCAGAGTGTCCCAGCCCAATTGGCTAAAGACCACCTGAGAAAAACCCATAGTCTGATGAAGTCAGGTTTCTTGACCCCTTGAAATGAGACAGACAGCACACCAGAGAAATCATGGGGTGTCCCACCAAGCACAAAGGAAAAGATAGTTACAGGGTTTGAGAGGGAGTAGAGATGTGAACTTTAAATGAAGAAATATTTTGATAGGCCCAAAGCAAAGCAGAGCTGTGGGTAAGGGGGGTCAACATCAGGTCTGGACTGCAAAGTAGACCCACAGTCCTGTTTCCTTAGAAACAATAAAGTTAAGGTAGATGTGGAATATTGTGTTCAAAACTCCTTATCTGAATCTCTGCACCTGGGTTATAAATTCTGTCCACTTAGTGACTTAAATCCCCCAGGCAAGAATTTCATTCTTATTCACATAACTTCAAACAGTAAAGTTTCTGATATAGTAGTATATGATTTTAGAAAACAATGATGCTCAGAAAGAAGTAGTCCTCAAAGCAAAGGTCATTATATTTTACAGCTGGAGTACATATTTGGGAAAAATATTTTCTGTTAATGTCACAGCTGCTTTTCAGATTATTATCTATGTCTCTATTATTCCAGCCTGATAAGTAGCAGGACAGATTTTAGAGACCGAACTAATTTGGGGGTTTAGAGGGAACAGTGACTGAGGAAGCTGCAAAGACTATGAGTAGTAAGTAACCAAGAAGAACAGGTGGGTGACTGTTGGCGTTGAAGATGCGAATAGGTCTAGTTCACTGGGCTGTCCAATACGGTAACCATACGCACAGGTGGCTATTTAAATCTAAATTAATTAAAAGTAATTTAATTTAAATTTAAAATAAATTCAATTAAGTAAGAATGTTGATTCCTCCATGGCATTTAGCCACATGTCAAGTGTTTAGTGTCCACAGATTAGTGGTTACTGTGTTGAGCAGTCCAGACATAGAATATTTCCATCACTGCAGAAAGTTCTATACAACAGCAGCAGGGTGAAAACTGGAGTTCCAGGTAATGGTGACCCCGTGGGTGCAGTCCCCAAGGAGTGGTGGGGGATAAGTAGGAATCTTTCTAAAACACAGCTCTAACAATGCTACTCCGCTCCTACGGCAGCTACGTGTAATTCATTCGTAACCCACAAGCCAAGACTCAGAGCACTTGGCTCTGTCGCCTCAAAGCCTTTCCCTGCCAGCACAAACTCACTATCTTCCCCAAACTCCATCTCCCAACGTGCCGCGGGCCCTTTTCCTGCGACTCTGGCTCTTGGACTCCTGGGAAATGTAGTTTCTACTGCGTTCCAGCCCCACAAAGGTCCTAGTCGTGAACTACAATTCCCATAGGACAGTGCGCCAGCCGTCCCGGTCCAATTCCCCGTGGTTACCGTGCTTACCGCGAAGGCGGCCAGAGCCGGCACCTGAGGCTTAGTGTAGCAGTGACTGAGACGCTGGCGTCCCAGGTGCGAAGGAGGACGGAGAGTGTGCTGGGCCTCTTCCTGACACTTCTCAGATCTCTGCCGTTCTGGGGCCTTGGAGACGCCTCAACCAAAGCGGAGCCCACGGAGGGCCCCAGAGAGCCATGGTGACGGAGCGACGACAACCACTAGGGGACGTGGGGCAGCGCCGCCCTTAGTCCGACGTGGAGTAACCCGGGGGCCATCGGGCGGCCCCGGGCCGGAAGCGCACGCGCAAGTAAACACCAAGGAGCGCGTGCGCGAGCGCTGCGTCTCAGGCTCGGCACGCGGGGGCGCCCTAGCGAAGATGACTAATAAATAGTAACGTAACGGTCCAGTCATCTTTCTGTCTTTTATATTATGGTTTACAAAGCACGGCCCCCTTCGTTGCCTCTCCTAATGTGATCCTCACAACAGTCCTTTTACAAATGGGTCAACGGGTCAGAGACAGTCACGCAGAGTCCCAGCATCACAGAGTGTGAAGGACCAGAGAAGGATGAGGATTCAAGGACTTTAGGCCAGGCTCTACCTCCGACTTGCTGTGTGACTTTGGGTAATTTTGTTCCCTTCGGGACCTTTCTCGTTTTTAAATGGGAATAGGTTGTTGTGAGGATCAAATGAGATCCAGGAGTGAAAACAATTTAGTTTACTTTGGGGGAATTTACCCAAGCAGTCTATAAAGGCAAAAAATTATTGTAGTCAGGTGATTGCAGATTGAGGAACCCATTTCCTCATTGTACAGGTTGCAAAACTAAGGGCCTCAAGAGGGGTAGGGGCTTGCCCTAGGTCTCAGCATCAGCAGTCTCTGAGCAAGGGCTAAAGCCTAACCTTTCTGCCGTTGGACCTGGCGCCCTACCTTCCAAGGATCAGTGTCTGTGTTGGATACAAGCTTAGAGAGATCGACTGTACCGTGAAAACCTGGGGGTGTCCCTTTTCTCAGCCCTTCTTCTAACCCCCACCTCGGCTTGATGGACAAGGGCCCTGCTCTGTTGAGATGACCACCAGAGGCAGGGAGTTAAGGAGGATCTGGAGAATCCTAGAGGAAGAGAACAGTGTTGCTGGAGCTGTACAGACCTGCTTCTCAGGACAGTGGCCCAGGTAAGAAAAAGGGCCCAGGTGTGACAGATGAGAGGGCACAGACTCTGAATGGAAAGGAGTGGGAAGGTGTTGGACTTTGTTCCTGAGCCAGGGAGGCATTGAGTGCTCAGGTGACTCCAGTTGGGGCCAGTGGAGCTGGAGATGATACCTGGGCTGGCCTGGGTGATGAGAAGAGGAAGTGATGCACACTGAGCTGAGGCTGTAGGAGCCACTCCCCCAGCCAGGTGGAACAGCAAGGTAGCACCATAGGCGCATCATGCCACCTGCAGGATCATGCAGCTGCCCACCAAGGGAGCGAACTTTTCTCTGTCCCTTGTAGCAGAGACACAAGGGTTCTATAGAGCTGTTTCTCTCTGGAGTGCTTTTAGAGGTTAGAGATGGCAGTTAGGGGGAGGGGCTGGGAGACCCTGAGTTCTGATTGCAGTTTGGGCCTCTTCAGGCAAGTCATGAAAGGCAGGTATTTGTGGAAATAGAAATCCAAGATCCTCTCTCCCTGCCAAGTATCTAATTCTCTGGGCGTTCAGTTATGATTTCTGTTTTCAGCTGGGGAAACTGAATCTAAAGAAGGAAAGGGACTCTCTTAAGGACACAAAGGAGTTGGGGTAGAACTGGACTAGTATAGGGATCTTTCCATTACATGACAGTGATCAAACATCTTCATCAAACATTTATTGTCTAATGTATATGCTGAGAAGGGCTACCTTGGCGTAGAAAACAGAAGCCAGGATTGCAGTTAGACCTGGCTTTTATCCAGCCTTCCCAGTGACAACACTGTGACCCTGGGTGAGTCACTGTCCCTCTCTAAGTCTCAAATTGTCTGTAAAGTGGCGACACTAAGCCTTATGCAGCACTGTCTCGAGGTTTAACTGTAAGTGAGTTAAGAACCGTTAAATGCATAGAACAGCACTAGCACCATGGTAAGCGCTCTTATGTTAGCCACTGTTGTTACTCATGAACACAAGTTGAGGCAGGCTGCAGATGCGGTTCTCCTAGAGCCAGGCAGGGACAGAGATGCAGCAGTCCAGGTCTGCTTTCTCCCAGATGTCTCCATACCATGCCCTGGGTGCCTGCCTTTATGAAAGTCAAGTGGGGCACCCATCTTCCCATCTCCTCATCCAGCCCTGGGAGCCTGGCAGGGGAGAGATGTCTCTAGTGTTTACACCTGCACGTACACATGATTCCTTTCCCCACAGCCTGAGGCCTAGAGTGAAGGAGATTCTTACCCAAAGCTGCACATTACTCTAGCCCTGGACAGTCAGACCAGAACCAGAGCCTGGGCTCTTTCCAGCCCCTTCAGGGTGTAGGGCTGTGCATGCCTTTCCTCCCTGCAGGGCAGATGTCCAGGAAAGCTAACAGCAGGTTTTCAAGTGTTTCCCTGTAGTGGAGCAGGGGCTGTGGCCAGAGGGGAGCCTGGGTGGGAGCCAGGGTCCAACATCAGACACCCCACCCTGGCCCACCCTGTCTGAAGTTGGAGACCTGGCCCAGTGGTCATTTCTGTTCTGTTCCAAGCTTCCCTCATGGCATTCTGGTTCGAACTCCTTATTTATAGAGCAGGAGAGAGAAGATCAGAGAGACCAAGAACACACTGAGAGTCCCACAGTAAAGTAGGGGTGAGTCTGGTCCAGCGCTCAGGCCTCCTGACTTGACTTAAGGGCTCTGCCGACAGCCAGACTGGAGGGGCAGGGCTTGGCTCCACTTCTTCCCCCACTGCCACCACAGTCTTGCTTGGAGCCAGCCCCCAGGGTGGCCCCCAGCTAGGCTCTGGTTTGGGGGAGAGTTGGGAAGGTGGACAGGTAAGGGTGGGGGTGGGGAGTAAAGGGCCCAGTCAAAGAGGAGCCCAGGGCTGGCCTGGGCGAGTGGGACGGGGAGCTCTCCTTGGAGCATGTGGCTGCTGCAGGATTCTAAGGCCTTATTAATCAGTCTGAGGCAGCAGAGGATAAAAATACTGTGGGAGCACACTCCTGGAGGAGAGGAGCAAAGCAGATTCAGGAATGAGTCACAGAGCCCAAGCCCTAAATTTAGAAGGTGCTGAAAGAGGCAGCCTTCCCCAGGGGAGGACTGGGGAGATACCCACTGACCCAGGACACCAGGGATTCAGGGCAGGAAGCAGCAGTTGGCAGGAGTCCTCCAAACAGCAGTGCCCTATGGAAGCTGAGCCTGCTGTAGGGCCTATTCTAGGTGTGGATTTTGGCCCCAAGATGAGCCCTGACCCAGGGCAGATCCTTCAGCCCCATTCTCAGAGCCGCTAGAGAACCCACAGCAGCCAGCCCTCGCACAGCCCTGGGAACCAGTCCCTAGAGCTCGGACTTCTCAGTGTTGTGCTGCCCTCTGGCTGGGCGTGGCCAGATTCCCTGTGCCCTGCTGTTGTCCTGGCATGCAGCTGTCAGTCAGGCTCTGAGGAGGGGCCTGTGTGGATCCCGGGAGCTAATTCCTTTGAGTGAAGGCCTCCCAAAGGGACCCAACCAGGCCTTTTGCAGCTCTGCTTGCCCTGGGGGTGAGGGAGGGGGACAAGATGTCATCACATCCACCTCTGCTCCCCTCTCAACCCCCTAGGCTTTTGCCTCCAGGTTGAGGAACAAAGATACAGCAAAAAGGCCATGTCTTGGGGACAGATGCCAGACCTGGGGGAAAGGTAGCTCAGAAGACAGGAATCGATAGCAGCTGTGGCATTTATTGAGCACAGACACTGTGCTAAGCACACCATGTGATTAACTCACCTCATCCCCATGGTAATGACTGAAATTCTTTTAGTCTACCCCTCTTAAAAATGAGACAGCTGAGACACAGAGAGGTTAAGTAACTTGCTCTAGACCACATACTGAGAGGTTCTAACCCAGGCTGCCTGGCTCCCTAGCCCAATCTGTTGCGCTAGCCTGCTGAGCAGGGAACTGCGCCCCAGCTCTCCTGCCTCCACTGCCATCCTTCCCTCCCTAAGCCCTGCACCCCTGAGCCCCGGGGGCTGCCCTCTGGGCCTGGCAGGGGCCTGCTGCCCATCGTACCCCCAGGCTCTGGGTAGGGAGAAGTCTAATAGTAGTGCCCACCGCCACACGGGACTTCACAAATTATAGAGCACTCATCCCATTGGGGAGGCCCCTGGAGCACCCCCACTCTGACAGAACAGGCCTAGAGAGGGGCAGGGCCTTGCCTGAGGTAGACAGGGACTGGAGCAGAACCATGGGGAACCTCTCCCCTTAGAGAGGGTCCCAGGCCCAAGTGGCCCCCTCCCCCGCATGCTGGTCCTCCTGCTGCTGCTGCTGGTGGGGGCAGCCTGCAGAAACTGAGTTCCATTGCCAGGTCGATGCATCCTTCCAAGCCCTGGCGTTTCTTGTCAGAGGTGCCTGGACCATCTGCCTGACCCCAAGCCCTCCCCACAGCGCTGTGCTCAGGTCTGGTGGGGGTGGGGGTGTCTTGGGTGTCTTCAGGGAGGACAAGGTTGTCTAGGCCTTTTTCTACCAAGATGGGAAGAACTCTAGTCCTGGGACAACAGCCCCTTTTCCGGCAACCCACACAACTTCCTTCTTTTGGTTTCTTTTTTGTTTTGTTTTTTTTGAGACAGAGTCTCACTTTGTTGCCCAGGCTAGAGTGAATGCCATGGCATCAGCCTAGCTCATAGCAACTTCAAACTCCTGGGCTCTGGCAATCCTGCTGCCTCAGCCTCCCAAGTAGATGGGACTACAGGCATGTGCCACCATGCCCGGCTAATTTTTTCTATATATTTTTAGTTGACCAATTAATTTCTTTCTATTTATAGTAGAGACGGGGGTCTTGCTCTTGCTCAGGCTGGTTTCGAACTCCTGACCTCGAGCAATCCGCCTGCTTCAGCCTCCCAGAGTGCTAGGATTATAGGCGTGAGCCACTGCACCCGGCTTTTTGGTTTCTTATTTTTTTTTTTGAGACAGAGTCTCGCTTTGTTGCCCAGGCTAGAGTGAGTGCCGTGGCATCAGCCTAGCTCACAGCAACCTCAAACTCCTGGGCTCAAGCAATCCTTCTGCCTCAGCCTCCCGAGTAGCTGGGACTACAGGCATGCGCCACCATGCCTGGCTAATTTTTTATATATATATATTAGTTGGCCAATTAATTTCTTTCTATTTTTATAGTAGAGACAGGGTCTCGCTCAGGCTGGTTTTGAACTCCCAACCTTGAGTAATCCTCCTGCCTCGGCCTCCCAGAGTGCTAGGATTACAAGCGTGAGCCACCGCGTCCGGCTTGGTTTCTTATTAATCTTTAATCTCCAACTGGGTCCTCAGTGCCCTGACTCAGGACAATTCCACCTCCTGTAACTAGAGGGGCCTTGGGGAGAGCTCAGGATTACCCTTTGGGTGATGGGAGAGGTTGGGGGTCCAGCCGCAAAGCCCCAAGGCTATTCCTGTTCTTGGGGGGAAGAGGCTCCTCTAGGAGGCTTTGTCAGCCTGAGTGTTGCTTGGGAGCTTGGACTGACCAAGGGACACAGCCTGGCCCCAGGTATAGCCTGACTTCCCACCCCCAGGGGACAACAAGCTGGGACACCTAGGATAGGTTCTGTTTCTTTCTGGTCTTACTTTCCCCATTTGGGGCTAATGGTCCTCACCTGGCCTTCCGCCTGAGGTGGTCTTGAAGGTGAGATGAACCGAGTAGCAAAGGCTCTTCCTCTGGCCCAGAGAGGATGTGCGGAGCCTCGTGCCCGCCAGCACTGTGACTTGGGTGCCGTTGCGTGCATCCCGAGCAGTGAGGGACTGAGATCTGTGTGGGAACTGGCGTGTGAGCGTGGCACTTCAAGGTTTTACGATGTGGGTGAGGCAAGGCCTCAGGTGTAAGGTTGCCTGATTTAGCATATTCGGGATGTACGTCTAGTAAAAAGTTCTTCATTGCTGATCCGAAATTCAAATTGCACTGGGCATCCTGTATTTTATCTGGCAACTCCGCTGTGCTGTTGCTTGTGGCCTGGCGTGACCAAGTGTGTGTACCTGTGTAAGGCTGGCCCTGTGTGAGACCCAGATGGTGTGTGGGACTGGAACGCGACATCAGGAGGAGTGAGGATAAGGGTGACCACTGGGAGTGGCTGACTTGGTGGGCCCTGAGCCTCCAGCAGCTCCCTCAGGGCAGATTTGGGCTGTTAGCTCTGAGAGGCCCAGCAGTGCTTTGAGTCCCGCCTTGGGCAAACACTTAGATCCGGCTACAGGTAGGACTGAGATATAGGTATATTCCCACTGTAAAGGACACTATATAGGTCCCTCTCAAGGCCAAGCCAGCCCTGGGGGCCTCAGAGGCTGCACCCTTCCTGAGGGCCTCTGGAACCAGCCCTCCATTCTGCTGCTTCCTGGTGACATCACACAGGTCACTGCCTAATCTTCTAGAACTGTGTCCCCAGGACACTGCCTCGTTGCCCTGGACAACCTGGGATTTTGATCGACTGGAACTGGCAGGCAGGGTTACCCCTGAGGAGTGGGTGGGGAGGGAAGGGGTGAGGGGGGCCTTCTCATCTCCCAGAGGGGAGATCGAGGCAGCCATCCATCCGTCCAGGAGATGGTGAGTAGGGGTGGGCACCCAGGAGCAAGTCAAGACTTTCGGGCCCCTCATTGTCCAGGACGCTGGGCAGGGCGTGGGGCACTGGGAAGATTGAATCTTGAGGCTAAGAGAGGGTGGTGGCTGTGCCAAGGTCACCCACAGGTGACTTCCACTTCTGTCAGTGAGTGGAAGGGGTGGTGTGTAATGGAGGCCAGGAGCCTCAGGTTAGGAGCTGAGAGACCTGGGTTCTTATTTTTGTTTTGTCCCTGCTAGCTGGGCCTTTGGTTTTCCATCTGTACAGTGAGAGGATAGGGCCAGATGACCTTAGTGTGACAGTCTTTTGTTCTGGTGGTGGGAGTTGAGGGGAGCTTTAGGGACCAGGTTATGGGATGGCTCCAGGCAGGTGCCACCTGCTCCAACAGCTGTCAGTGGGCAGTGAGCAAAGGCTGATGTGAATCTTTCCAAGGGACTCCCTCCCCCCATTCCAGCAGTCACAGTCTGTCCCGAGGTACCAGAGGTCCCCTTGTGGGTTCTGACTTGCTGTGTGATTCAGGGGCACCCCCATGCCTGCCACGGCCCCAGCTGCACTCTCTTCAGAGGCACATGTGAGACCCAGGCTTGCCCAGCACCCTGGGTAATGATTCCTCACATTCTCAAGGTGCTTCTCAGTTTGCAAAGCACCTTCTCGTACAAGCTCTCACCTTTTACACCCGCTCTTGCTCCCGCTCAGTGGTGCCGCGTTCTGGAGCTGGGACCAGAGAGGAGCCAGACCTGAGCTCTGCCCTCGGGGCTCAGGGAGACACCTCCATCCACCTCCTGTGGAGAGGACTGGGTCAGGGGCAGAGGACTGCAGTGCACAGGGCAGGGGTCAGGCTTTGCCAGCTGTTTCCACTGTTTAATATTTCATGAGAATCTTAACAGCCATCATGTCAAGATGCTACCTTCACACTTTTTGTTGGAGCCATGCATTTTTGGACAGTGTATTTCTTTCCTGCCCTACCTACTCCCACCAGTTATATTTTTGGTTACTTATCTAGGGGTAAAACTGTAACATATACAACTTTTTTTATTGCAGTATTCTCAGATGATAGGTATTATTATTCCAGATGAATAAACTGAGGCTCAGAGAGGACACGTCACCCACTTCTGGTCACACAGCTAGGAAAAGGTAGAGCCAAGATTTGAACCCAGGTCCACTGGCCCTTTATACTGCCAGGCTGTGGGTCCTCTCCAGACTCCTCCAGAGCCCCTCCCAGCCCTCCTGGGCTCAGTCTTCTGCTCTCAAGCAGAGGGGCCCCATCTCGCTGCTGCTCAGGGGTGTTTTCAGACAGGATATGAATCTGCTTTGTCATGTTTGAGAGACTGTCATGAGCCCCACAATGGAGATACCTAAATTCCGAGGGTGGGGTAGGGTAGGGGGGCTTGCAAGGGTAAATTAATGAGTAGGATGGAGTGATGCCCTTCTGCCTACCTGCTGGCTAGGTAGCTTGGCCTGAACCTAGGACCTAGGGATGAGCCCAGGGGTCCTAGGTAACCCACCTTTACTGACCCCAAACCCAAAAGATTCATTATTGGTTACTCTGTTTAGATTTGAGTAATAATTTGGTTCATGCCATCTGTACCTCCTTGGGTTTCTGTCTGTCCATCAGACTGGCAGTTCTCTGGGTGGGAAGTCTTTCTATCAGTCTGTCCTCACTGCTACCTGCTGTCACCCAGCCTTGTCTTTTTTACTCTGGACTGGATGGTACGTATGAAAGGGTTACTGCCTTGGTGACTGCTCTCTGCTGGGATGTGTGTTATTGAGACCCTAAAAAGGCAGGAGCCACCAGTCTAGCGCTATCATCTCTATTCCTCGTGGCAGATCCCAGAGAATACTGTTCACAAAGCAGGCTTTGGCTCTACTGTGGTTCCCTTTTGGTCTCCCACCAGCCTGGGAGTGAGGGTGTCAGATAAAACCACTGAGGCCTGAAGAGGGGCAGTGACCTGCCTAGAGTTGGGCTAGAGGCAAGTTATGTAGATAGTAGAGTCAGAGCCTGGGCCTCCTGAGCCCAGAGCCAGCCCCTTGCCACCCACTCAGTCCCAGACACGTTGAAAGAGTGTGGTTTAGAAGGGGTGGGGTGATTATCTGACTATACCTCCCACAGTGCAGATGGGTGGCCTGGAGATCTAAGGTCATTCACACAGGCCTCATGGAGATCTGCAACTCATTGTACTGGATTCACTTTGCAGAATGTCCTTTGGGGTCACTTGCCATGATGGCTCCCTGCTCACCTCTACTCATTTTTAAAATGTGGCCTGATTTGGAAACATCTTGGAGCTCTAACACTTCAGGAAGAAACACCTCTATTTGTGAACCCACCATGATGACTCCTACACTCCTTGTTTTTCTCTTAGCACCTTCAAGAAAATCTTTTCCATCCCATAGCTCTAGGCTGGTGAGCCTAGGAGGTGCCTTAGGGTTATACATTCTGATTCTCTTCTTCTGTACATAGGAAACTAAGGTGCAGAGAAGATGGGGCAGCTAGGGCAGAGTAAGAGGGGACTGAGACCTGGGCACTGGTCAGAATGGTCAGGACTTGCTCTGACACTGGGCAAGGGGCGGGCATGTGTTAGGCCCTGTTAGCTGCCCCTCCAGAGGAGTTCCCCACAGACCACTGGTCCAGGACCATGGTCAGCCTGGGGCCATGCTGCCACACTTATACTGGTCTGGCAACAGAGAAGTTGAGCAGTTGGTCTCAGTTAACACAGAGTAGATGGAGGCAGAGCTGGGACTAGGACCAAGGTGGCAGGGCCAGCCTCCCTCCCAGGCTAGAAGTGGTGGGTGGAGACTTGGAGCTCTGGCCAGTTCTGCCTGGGGAGGGAAGGGACCCCCAGAGCTCTGCAGTCAGATACTTTTGAGAGCTAGTCTAGTCCATGGGAGACGTGTGCACGCTGGTGGACAAGGGCCAAAGAGTCTGGGGCTGGAGGGTGTCCTGGTTAAAGCTCCCAGGTAGGAGTGAGGCTGGAGTGGGGATTTCGCCCAAGTCTGGCTAGCCTGTGAACCTTGAGCCTTGTGGGTTGGATTACTTCCTGCTGGGTTTGCACACCCCACTGGGAATTGGGTAGGATGTATGCAGGCTAGATGTGTTTCTGGGTTGGTGGGGGATGCAAGCTGTGGGGCTGTCATCCCTGCGAGTTAGTCTCTTGATTATCGTGGGAGTGTGTGCCCATCTTTGGATCTCTGGGGTGTTGTGTGGGGGTGCCTCTGGGTTGTTCCGGGGACAGCGTGCCTGTGTGTAAATACTGTAGGTTGTTGCAGAGGTGTATACCTGTGAGTATGGGAGGGGGATGGAGAGAAGGGGTTCACAATTAACTTCCAGAATCCCTCTTCTAGCACCTCGTGGCCCTTCCTGTTGGAGTCCACTCCGTCTTGGCCACTTCTCACCGGTCCCCAGCCCTGGCCTGAGGACGGGCCCCTCCCGGGCCGGGTCCCCTCCCGGGGCGGTGGGGGCGGGCACTAGGACCCTGCGGGGCGGGGCGGGGCGGGGCTCCGAGCTCCGGCAGCTTTACCTCCGCAGCCTGGAAAATACCGAGCGAGGCGAGCGGAGCCCCCGGAGCCCCCGAGCCTAGCCGGGAGGGGGCGCCCGGGGCTGGGGGCACGGGGCGGGGCCGGGCGGCAGGACCCACTGCTCCTCCCCCCAGAGCCCCCGCGCGGCCCCCGGTCGCTCGGGCAGCGGCGGCAGCGGCAGCGGCGGCGGCGGCGCTCGCACCCCAGCCCCGGCGGGCCCCGGCGGAGCAGCGGGCTCAGGTGAGCGGCCCGGCCGGGCGGACGCCCCACCCCGCCCCCACCACTCGCCCCGCGCGCGCATCCCGCGCCGGCGCCGCTGCCGAGTTAGTTGAGCAGGTCCGGCCACCGCTGCGCGGGGCCCTAGCCAGACCGCCCGACACCTCTTGTCCCCGCCGTCCCCTGGGTCCCGACGGGCTCCCGCGGGCAGCCCGCACCCAATACGCAGTCCCCACGCTGGCCCCAGGGAAGTCTGGGGTCGTTCCTTGGGAGGTGGCCCCATGACTGTCCTGTGCCGGTCCACCCTCAGCTGGGGGCCGGCCCTTGCTTGTCTTGAGCTCTCCACCTGCTCAGGACCCCAAACAGCCCCACCCGCGCCCCCAGCGCACTGATTCCTGTCCCCAAACCGGTCTTGCAGGTCCCAGGAAGGTGGCGTCAGCATCTGCAACCGCGTCGACGGTGTCAGAGCCTCCGCGAAGGACCCAGGAGAGCGGGACTAGGACCAGGGCCCTGGGCCTCCCCAGCCCCCCCATGGAGAAGCCAGCGGCCTCAATAGAGCCCCAGGGGCCTAGGCCAGTCCTGGGCCGTGAGAGTGTCCAGGTACCCGATGACCAGGACTTCCACAGCTTCCGGTCAGAGTGTGAGGCCGAGGTGGGCTGGAACCTGACCTACAGCAAGGCTGGCGTGTCTGTGTGGGTGCAGGCTGTGGAGATGGATCGGGCACTACACAAGATCAAGGTAGGGCTGCCCTGCCACACCTGCAGCTTCCATTGCACTGTTACTGCCTCTCACAGGAGCCTTCTAGTCCTCTCTCAGGGCCACAGACACCTGGTTGTACACCTGGGCCCTGAAAGAGTCTCCTGCCAGGAACCAGGAGGTGGCACAACCCGCTGGGCCAAGCCCGCATCACACAGATGGGCCAACAGAGGCCTGGAGAGGGGGGTGTGACTCACTTTGGCTCACTTGCGGGGAACCCAGGCTTCTGCCTGCCCCTGCCTGCCCCAGGGAGGTGGGCTGCTGCCATGCCCATCTCGGAGAGTGGCCTCCTTCAGGGACCCCTCTGCCCATGAAGCCTTCACCTGATCCCAGGCAGGAGACTGGGCCCTTCTCTCCCTGAGTCCTGGTTCTCTCAGCCTAAGCTGGGTCTCTTTTCCAACTCTCTGCACCCTGGGATATGAGGACTGACTCGTTCCTGCCTGATGCCCTGCTATCGTTCTTTCCCTTCCTTCCCTGGCTGCTCCCAGTCTCCTGCAGGGACTCAGGTTTGTGGCTGGCACATCCTGAAGGCTATGGGCAGGGGGAGGGGAAACCTGGCGTCAAGGAAAGCCAGTGCAGAGGGCAGTGGCAGGCACATCAGCCCCTCACAGCCATCTCCCCATCTCCTCACCACCCCGTGATTCTCCTCTCTTTGCTGCGCAGTGAAGGCTGGGGGTTTGGGATGAACCCACCATGAATCCACCTTCCCCAGGGCACTAGATGGGACAGAGGCTAGTGAAGACTCTAGTCTAGGGACCTCGTAGCTGCCTGCAACGCATCTGGTGTTGCTGTACGTGCCACGTTTCCAGGGTGGGTAGGTCCCCCTTTACTGGGCTCCTGGCAGTAGGCTGTGCCCTTCACCTCTCTTTCCCTTGACTTCTCCCTTCTCCTGGCACATTCCTATTGCAGAAGCCAGGGCACTAAACTCAAAGACGCACTCTCCCCTTCCTGCCTGGGACCTAGTCTCAGACCCGGCTTGGGCATCTTGGCCTCACATCAGGGTCTGAAGTGGCTGACCTTTCCCCTCTGACCCTGTGCCTTTCTGCCTCACTTTGTCGTAATCACTTACAGCTTTGTCCATCTGTCCACACATGATTTTCTGGCTCTCCCTTTCTACCTTCTCTTCTCCCCTCGGTGACTCTACTGCATCCTGGCTGTCTGACCGTCTCTTTCCCTAGGGGTTTCCATGTGTGTCTCCCTCTCTGGGATTCTCTGCTCAGGCCTGAGTACCCTGACCCGTGTCTGAGCCTGAGGAGCAGAGAAAGAGGTGGGCAGCTGGTACCCCCTGAGGGCAGGGGCAGGTCCTTTTCTCCTTTGGACCCCAGCATCCAACACAGACAGAGCAGGGATGTTGGCTGAAGGAAAGAGGAAGGAAGGAACAAAGGAACAATTTGAAAAGTGAGCAAGGTAGTTTCAGGAGAGCCTATGACCTGGGAAAGGCTTGAGGCTGGCAATGAGCAGTGGGGTGGGAAGTGTGGTTTCCCCATGGAGCTGGCTCTCCAGGAGGGAGTGGGGAGGAGGTCTGAACTGAGGCCAGTACTCCCACCCTCTGTGTCAATAGGGCGGAGCTGCCGCCTCCATCTGGCTTGGTTAATGAATAAACCCAGCCTAGCCCAGGACTAGGAGTTGGTAGGTCTGAGTCTGGGGGCCAGGCTGCCACAACAGACTACTCATGGCCAAATCAGACTTATCAGGTGGCCTTCCTTAGGGATGGCAGGGACTTGGAAACTGGGGCAATGTAGGCTTCTTGGCAGGGCATACACTCTCCCCGCAGCCAGGACCCTGACCTTCCTTCCCTCTCAGACTGAGCAGAGGTTGGAGGTGCCAAAGAGCCCTTCTCAATCGCTGTTTCATTACACTGCCCCCACCCCTGGGGTACAGGTGAGAGTACTGAGGCCCAGAGAAGGGCAGGGACCTTCCCAGGGTCACACAGCCAAGTCCCAGCAGAGCTGGGCACAGAACCCAGATTTCTAGCCTCCCAGCCTATCCTTTCTGTCTTACTTTTCTCCTCATGCTGCCCCTCGGCTCTGATCCCCACACTGGAGAGAGGTGGGGACAGGAGGTGAGCAGAGCCCAGGCCCAGGGAGGAGGCTGGGACCTTGGTTATGGGCATACCATAGGGCCAGCGCCCCACTCCTAACCCTCTCAGCATAGCCAGATGGAGCTCTGGGACATGTGCAGAGGCCTCTGAGCATCCCATCCCCAAGATTCCGGTTCTCCCAGGTTCCACGCAGCTACTCCCATTTCTGGTAATAATAGCCCCTGCTGTGAGCCAAGCATTCCTCTCCATCATCTGAATTATCCTCAGGCCAGTCTTGGACAGTAGTAGGCTGTCTCCATGTTACAGACAAAGAAACTGAGGCTGAGAGAAGTAATGTCATTTGCCTAAGGTCATGCCACAGCAAGAGAGGAACCCAGATCAGCCTGGCTCCAGAGCCCTTGCCCCTCTCTGTGTGGGCTCATATTGTTAGTCTATACGGTGGCCTTTAACCCCATCAATAACTGTTTGAAGGACTGAGGGACATGGTGTTCTCATCATCCCCATCTTGTTTGATGAGAGAGCCAAGGCCTACAAAGGGGCGTGGCTTGTCAAGGTCACACAGCAGGTCTGAAGCCAGAGTCCCCAGGGATGATTGGGTCACTCCAGGAGGCTAGGGCTCAACTGCAGGTGTTTGTTGAGCTTCTGCCCCCTTTCCCTGCCTCTCTCCTACCCCAGCCTGTTCTGGGCCTGTCCCCAGAGCAGGGAAAGCCAGCTGCCCGCTGGACATGCCCTGTGTGCCTGATCCCAGAGTGGGGGTGGGGCTCCACCTATCTTGTCTACCTGATTGATTTCCTCCTCCTCATCTCCCTTCCCCCTTCTCTGTGTCCAGAGGTCCCAGGAAGCCACCGTGGCTCTGGGCCCAGCAGTTGGAGCCAGACCAAAGGGAAGGGGCTGTTGAAGGTCCCCTTCACCCTTTCCCTCCCTCCCTCCCTCCTGGCCTCCAGCCTAGGCTGGCCCAGGCCTGCACTATGCTCAGATCCTGGAGAGGCAGACACCACCTCCTGAGAGCTCAGCCCTATCCCAAAGACAGGTGCTGAACATGGATCCCGGGTACAATGCAGAAGGCAGCTCGGAGTCTGAACCCAGGTCTCCCAGTGCCCAGGCTTCCCCACAGCTTCCGCAGTGGTGTGAGACAGACCAGGAGGTTCTGTCTGTCATTCCACCAGGGCCGGCTGGGGTCCAGTCTGGCTGTGGTGTTTTCTTGCTGTGCGTGTGTGACCTTGGGCACATCCCTGCCTCTCTCTGTGCTGCTTGTACATCTGTGCCATGGGGCCCTTTCGGCTCCAAGGGCCTCTGAACTCAGCACCTGGGCTGGGGCCTGTGGGAAGAGATAAGCGGTGAGGAGCAGACGGACAGACAGCTGAGCACCGGCCAGCCCTGCCCTGCCCTGAGTGCTCATGTGCTCCGGTTTTCCTGATATCTGCTGCATGAGAGACAGTGGAGGAGCCCTAGACCCTTCCTCAGAGGTTCCAGACTGGTGGAGAGAGGAAAGGCAATTCCTAGTGTCCTCCTGCCTACTGCACAGGCAGCCCAGGGCAGGAGTGAGGCCTGTGAGAGCCTGAGCCTGTGACGGGAGTGGGCTGGGTGGCAGGGGCCTTGAGGGGCTTGGCACTAGAGCAGGTGTGGGTGATCTCTTGGGGAGGGTGGCTGAGAACCTGAAGCTCCTCTGGCCACAGGAAGCTGGTTAGTGGTGACCTGTCTCCTCTTACTTCCTGTCCCCCAACTCCTCCACTTCCCCTTTGGAGAAAGCTCTGGTGGCCCTCCCAGCCCTGTCTCTCTGTCCACCTGCCCCCACACCACAGGTCCCTGGGCTCCAAGCTCCCAAGCCTGTGCTCAGGTCTGCTGCCCTCAGCACCCCTCCTCCCGCTGTGACATGTGGGATGGCTCAGGGATCTCCACTCTTAACAGGGATCTCCACTCTTAATCTCTTCTCACTCTTAACAGTCTCTGGGACTCAAAGGGGTCATGGGGAAGGTGGGGTGGGGACAGGCCAGGGGCTTTCTTTACATCTCCTCACTGAGTCTTCACTATTGCCCTGTGGGGTAGGTCTTGTTAACCCTATCAGGCAGCTGTGGAAACAGGCTCAGGGCAAGGAATTACTTGCACAAGGCCAAACAGCTGGAAATGGTTGAAGCTGGATCAGAACCCAGGCCCTTGGCTCGCCAAAGCTGAGATCCCCCCCACTCCCTTAGACCTGGTTAGTAGCACTGTTGGGCCCTTGGTTGTCCCTGTGCTGTGTCACTGTGGGAGGGCACCCTGGAGGGGACCTACCTGGGCAAGAGCCAGTCCTTGCTATGTGACCTTGGGGGTCACTTCACCTTTGTGGGTCAGTCTTGTCTGTGGTGGCAGGGGTGGGAGTTAATCTGGTTTTAGGGCCTTGGACTATAAGGTTCTGGCTTGGCCTCTGCCCCCTCTGGGGTAATTTCCCCCATCTTTATGGGAAGCTGCTGGGCAGGTGGTCTGTAGAGGCTGTCCTAGCCTTAGGCCCAGCTTGGGGAGACTGCACTGCTGGACATAGGGTAAGGGCGATGGCTAAGGCCTTGCAGCTCTGTGCCATCAGAAAGGTCCCTACATAGGCACCTTGAATCCAGGGTTAGGCCCAGACCTGGCTAGCTCTAACTCTGACCTGGCCTGGGGGCAACTGGAAGAAGTAGCTTCAGAGCTGGCCTCAGGGAACAGGCTCCCAGTGAGTATGACCCCAGGTAGTCAGTGTCTGGATGTTGGGGTCAGGGAGCTCAGAGAAGGGAAGGGGCAGAGGTGGCTGGAGGTGTTAGGGAAGTCTTCCTGGACGAGGTGCCTGGGTTGTGTTGAGGTTGTAGAGGAGAGAGCACAGGAGCCAGAGTCCTGGCTATGTGGCTTTGGGCAAGGTGCCCGCCTAGGCTTCAGCTTCCTCATCTGTCATATGTGGATAGTAATGCTGCCCTGCCTGTCTTTGGACACT